AGTTTAGTGTTAAAAACTTAAAGTAAAAACACATGTTAATTTATACATTTATTAATTGAATTTAAATTAAAACTACTCAAAATAAAATTTTGTATCTGTTATGTAAAATATACGTAGCATTCAATAAACATAAAATAAACTATAAATAAAATAACATAAGCAATAAGTCAATATTTTTAGTGAGAAGGATGAACCTGATGCTTTAATAATAAATTGTCAACAATTGGCGTCAATTTTGTAAGGGTTAATCTTAAATCTCCTCGGCTAATGATGTCCAGTCTGTTTCTTTTTTTCGTTAGGAGATTGGTAACAGCGCTGAACCTGCTGTCCACTAGGTATGACGATGGAAAGGAAATTAAACATTTCCTCGCTATATTCCATAATACGGGATAAGTAACGGGTATGTTGTTTTGCAGCCAGAATTGCTGATATCCGTTTTTAAACTGAACCTTAAGTTCTTCGTTTGTACTTAGTTCAGTCAGTTACTCTTGTATTATGACATTCGTTTCTTCTATGTCACCATATGGATTAATTACCCACGGTGGTATTACCATAGTCAAAATATCCTCAAACCTAGATTCAAAATCCGAATAGAGGGCATTTAAATGTTGAACGTAAGTTGAAACGTCGTCTTCCTGGCAGCTTGTCTGTGACAAATTGCGGAACTGAGAAAATTCGCCCCGTCCAATATTTTGCTTCATTAGTTTAACTCTGGCAAGAAACGCTGATAAGATGGACTTTGTTTTAATCAAATTTAAACTGTCGCCTTGTAATTGCAAATTAACCATATTAAATTTTGTAAACAAATCTGTTAAATGGGCGAGTCTGTTTTCCTCTTCATTAAATTTTCTTTTAAAATTTTATCTTTAGTATCAAGAAATTGTAAAATAGTCTCAAAAAGTGCAAAAAATCTTGTCAACCATAAGCCTTTCGACAGCCAGTGTACTTCAGTGTGAAGGAGTAATTGATGAAAGTGTTCGTCATTTTCTTCACACAACTGCGCAACAAACCGCGTATTCAACGCGTTGCTTCGGATTCGGTTTACTGCATCAATGACTAAATGAAGTGATTCATGCAATCTAACACTCAAATTTTTAGCAACTAAATGTTGTCGATGAATGACGCAATGTATTGCTAACACCCCTGACACATTTTGTTTTAAATAACTTATAAATCCACGATAACGTCCATGTTAGGTGCTCTATCTGTAGCTACTGATATTATATTTGATAAAGGAATTGCTTTTTCAATGAAGTAATCCTTCAAAACATGAAATATTGATTCACCTTTAGTGTCTGTTATCAAAGTTCTTGCGAAGAGCAGTTCTTCGAAGATTTCTTGATTCATAATAAAACGAACATATGCCAATAATAATGCTGCATTATCAGGTAAAGTTGACTCGTCCAGTTGTATAGAGAAATGGGTCGTTTGCAAATAATTACATAAGAAGCTTTCAATATCAGAACTCATTTCATCAATACGTCTTTCAACAGTATTGTTGCTTAAGGGAATTCTTTTAATGATATCAGATGCAGGTTTGTGTAAAACAGTTTTTAAAACCTTTTCAACGGCTGGCAAAATTAACTTCTCTCCGATAGTATGCGGTTTTCCGGATTTCGCTATAGGTAACGAGATATTGTAAGACACCCGCAAACCATCATCATTTCTTTGTGACGTCGAAGCGAACATTCTGTCCAGTGTAGGTCTCTTCTGAAGTTTATCTTTGAGTGTTTGAAAGTATTTCAAATCTTTCTCTGTTTTATCAGGGTGGCATCTTCTCAGATGATCTTGCAGTTTAGATGATTTCATAGCGTCATTGCCCAAAAACTTTGTTGCATAAAAGGCACATAGGCAATTGTTTGTCCGGCAATGATGGAATGAAGCCAAATTTCAAATAATCGACACTACTGTCTGCATTTCTTTTTAGATTCGGACATGGCATCAGTCATCTGTGGGCAACATTAAATTATTTAAATAAGACAGAAAATCCAGCAGCTGTATATTAAAAATATTTTTTGATTTTTCCGAAAACATCCCATAATTCGAACATCTTCTTGCAACAATTACCTCGAATTACGGAGATTGCACTGTAATTATAATACCGATTGCTAAAACTTTCAAAAAGAAACTATTGAGGAGTACTCGTGTAATTTTGCATGATTGAATATTAAACTACTAATAACTAAAGTCATGATTGGCGTAATTTATCTATCTTTGCTAACTACAAGTACAAAACTAAAATTTAATAAAAAATAATGTACTAACTTTTCTCCAGCACTCTCAAACAAAATAACACTGACTCACTATAATTTGTGTGATATACTATCTGTTTATATTTTTTAAAATATTTTCTTAGCACTTTCCTTTTCAAGATTCAGGAAACAAATAAACGTATTTGTCCCACATTCGTATTTATAGAGTGACGAATTGAACAAGTCAGTGCAAGGTAGTGAAGCTCTGAGACTGCGACTCTCAGGTTTTTACAAGTTCAAAATGTATTGCGACCACAAAGCGAATACCAACATCCTACAACTTACACAATTTTATGAACATATATAATAAATTTTTTACTTCATAGGTACTTTTATAAATAATGTATATGTTTTGATATTATAAGATAGTATGATGTAAGTAAATAGGTACTATCAGTGTATGTGTTAAGATCCATAATCGTGGACCCCCATTTTCATTTCATGGACCCCCAATTTTTTTTTTTCGCTGACGTAGACCCCTTGCAGGTTGTCATAGACCCCTAGGGGTCGATATAGACCATTTTGGGAATCACTGATCTAAACGATCCAGTTTGCGATGTTTGATAATGCAAAAATACGAGACTTATTTTATCCCACTATTCTGTTTTTACTATGGAAATGAGTTACAACGCTAAAGGCCGCGGGTTCGAATCAGTTCGAAACAGAACAAGTATTTGTATGGCTTACAAATTTATTTATTTTTATTTGTTTATTTATTCTTTATTGCATTCCTTATTAATATATAAGAATACAAGGGCGGACTTAATGCCTTGAAGCATTCTCTTCCAGTCAACCCATGGTGTGGTGAGAATTTGACGTAGGTGTGGCAATATAGAATAAAATAAAATGAAAATAAAAATCAACTATGTAATATATACATTTTATTGATATATAAAATAAATAAACTATAGAAATATCTCCTATTTAGACGAACCACTGACCTCTATATACAAGTACGCTGTATAGAGGTCAGTGATACGAACATATACATACATATAATAGTTCTGGGTATACAAATAGTAGTTCCTGGTTTAATTAATAAATTAATAAAAGTTTAATGTTTGTCCTTGTGAAATTTATGTATGTAAACTGCCCTAACGATGCAACAGTAGAAAGTCCTAGAGTGGTGGTAACTGGTAACGCTTGAATGAAGAAAAACAACCTTCAAGTGCCAACCTGAAGCTAATAACTTTTTATGTATATGTAGACTCAGTGTTCCTACCTTAATTAAATTTCCTTATAATTTAGCTTGGAGTCTGAACTGTGTTCAAGAAGACATTATGTACTTTTTTCATTCATATGTAATATACGATGTGGCGACACAAACTGAAGAGCGATGAGCATGGTTTTAAGTGCATATGTATGCGTAAATGCGTGTCCATACAATTAGTTGGGCATAGTTTCAGAGTCACTTGAAATATACCTAGGGTTGTCTTTATTAATCTGAGATGTACACAAACAGGGAGGTACTCCGTACTCGCTCGTCTTATACAACTTGTGTTCTTTGTAACGCATTAAGTTTATTTTTTGTTATAGAATAATTGTGACAAACGAGCGCACAGTCCACCTGATGGTAAGTGCATGCCGTGACCCATAGACATCTAAATCTATCTTTGAATAAGAATCAAAATGCAGATGCGTTGTCACCCTTAAGGAAGGAAAGAATGCCTAGTTTCCACTTTCCAGTAAAAAGGGTCTCCGGTTCTTTACACTCACCTTACGAAACACAGCAGCAATTAAGCTGCTATTTTACATTAATATTCTGTGAGAGTGTAGCCCTAACTCGCGGTCGAGCCGACCCATTCATGCTACAACCACATGTAAAATAGCTGCAGCGTGGCTCTACCAAGTAATAGTAGCATAATGCTGCTCTGTTTCTTGTGGTGGTGAGTGTTTAGTCACTCATTTTGCTGGTAGATTGGCATTAGGTTTTAGTCCTCATCGATGCCATGCAAACGGAACTTCATAGTCATTCTTAATAGACGTTATATATATAGATGTCTATGAGCTAATATTATTTGAGTCAGCGTTTCTATGAGTGAAATATTTTATGTATAACAAAAATACTGTTTATGAAAGATATTGTGTTAAAATTATTGTTTGAAACGATGATGACACTATGTATATTTCCTTCAATACAGTAGCCAAAAAAAAATTCTGGTCGAGAGAGATTGTAGAACTCATCCAATAATATGATGGATGTGTCGTTGATTGATGTCTGACAGGCTCGAGCAAAACTTGCTTGTGGAAATTGCTATACAATTTCCTTTCCTAACTCGCTCAACATTTGATTCAATTTTAAGTGATGCTTCTCCTTATATGTTTTTCGTTACATTAATAAATTTTCGTAACAAAATATTCAGGAATCCCTTATTAAAAGAATATTTTTAAGTTTAATTAATTAAAAAAAAAAAAAAGTACACCACAACCCCAAAAAAAAAACCCAATGCTACAGACCCTTTTAAAAAAACAGGCACCTCCTCAGGAAACAACACGTAAGAAAAAATTTGATTCTTAAACGCTGATAGATAACACTGGTACATAATAGTATGTGTTCGTTTGTCAACTTTATCCTATTAAGAACAATATTTATATTTGGAGTTGCATATCCTCCTGAAAGGTCCTATAGCTTCCATTAGATGGTACTCTAGTATGTCTATTATTTTCATAAAACTCTATTAAACTCTATTTACTACTGTATTCTATTCTTAAGCACAATTAAAAAGGATAACCGATGTTTTATTGCAGCACGCGACCGCTTCCCGTCGACCTCCTCTACGGACGACAACGAGTCTGGCACAGATGGCGAGGCTGAGCGCACGAGACGTGCTCTCGCGCACGTGCCGCCGCCCGGCATGGTGTCGGTGCGCAAGCGGCGCGGCAACTTGCCCAAGCACTCGGTCAAGATACTGAAGAGATGGCTCTACGAGCACCGGTACAACGCGTACCCCAGCGACGCCGAGAAGCTCACCCTCAGTCAGGAGGCCAATCTGACTGTATTGCAAGTGAGCATTAGACCTCCTAGTTGGCTTTTCCCAGCGTAAGATTTTATAATTTTCAACTGATTTAAAAAAGGAGGTTCTCAATTTGCCGGAATATCTTTTTTATTTATATGTATGACACGCCCACTCCAACGGTGATCGCTTCTGCGACAGATGTGACCAGCCCATTGTCACTTCAGTCTGCAAATACGGACGGCTACGTTGGTGAACTTGGTTCTCAGTCGGATGTCGTCGTTACGAATTTTATTCACCAGAAAAACTCCGACCATAATAGCCCTTTGCATCGTCTGCTGGGTGATTTTGAGTTTGTGGAGTAGTCTTACCATTAGTATCCACATTTCGGTACGGCAGTACAGGCAGGACGTACTGGTACCGAAGAATTTCGTTTTCAAGCTTTGCTATATGTATGACGAGAAAACGAAGCTTCCCGAATGCTGCCTAGCCCAACGGAATCCGCTTATCGGCTTCTTTCTCGAAGTAGTTTCTATTTAACTGTACTATCTCTCCAAGGTAGATATACAATTTGTATGTGTGTACAGCGATAATTCTTTACCACATTCCCCGATTCCAATGATTCTTTTTTGTTAGGAATAGGATCCATCAGGGGTAGTTCCATATAAATTTTGTCAAAATCTGGTGATGGGACGGGATTAAAAAAGTAATTCTTTGAAGTCGGCTTTTACTTTTTTAATTTATTATATATACAACACGTCTAGCGTAAACGAAGTGGTTAAAAAGCCATATGATCTTGAAAACATTTTGTGTTCTTATTCTAAAGAACATATAAATAAACAAAACTGCATATCTAAAAAATATTTCGAGGACGTGTGAAGTCCGCCAAGACGCATTGCTGTAGGAGGGTGGTGTATTTATTACCCCATAAACCTTGTAAGAAATTAGAGATGACCTGTGCCCAGCAACAGGACAAACTTTGGTTATATAATGTATACTTATACAGAACGTTTTTTTTAGTAAATACTAAGGAATTTCTATGACGCAGGTATGCAACTGGTTCATAAATGCGCGTCGCCGCATCCTGCCGGAGATGATCCGGCGCGAAGGACACGACCCGCTGCACTACACGATCTCGCGCCGCGGCCGCAAGCAGCTCAGCGGTTCAGGACAGGCCGGCGTGCTCGTCGCCTCCTGGGACAACGTCGAAGGGGTATACATACATACAGCTACCCCACTCCACCTAGTCAGTTATACATTCTTGGGGCGATGTATATACATACAACAAAATCTCAGGAAATATACAAAATTTGACGGCCTCTAATTTCAAAAACTTTAATGATTTCTTATATTTACGCGAACACTACACATGATTAAAACTACTTTTACGGATTTTATCGCGTTTATTTTTACTTTTTATTTACTTTTATTTTTAATTCCCGACGTTTCGGGCGCTTTCCAGCACCCATGGTCACGGGGGACTGAGATGACTGACGTCCCGATGTCATTGTTAAACCCGGAGTACCTTCAGCTTTTTTTAATTATTGTTTATGGTCCGATCTATGCAAAATGAACTGACTGTGTCTTGAGGTCTTGCAGTGGTATGCTTGGGTTTAGTTTTAATTTTATTGATTATAGGATCCCAAGCAGGTGGTAGTACCCAGCCTCCTTCTCTATTGAAATTAGGATGTTTTTTAATTTCAATAGCCTCACGTATCATCCTTGGTAGGAATCGGTGTTCTTTCGCGAGGATTTGTGGTCTATCAAATCTGATGTAATGGTTGGGTCCGTCTAGGATATGATCACAATGACATCGGGACGTCAGTCATCTCAGTCCCCCGTGACCATGGGTGCTGGAAAGCGCCCGAAACGTCGGGAATTAAAAATAAAAGTAAATAAAAAGTAAAAATAAACGCGATAAAATCCGTAAAAGTAGTTTTATTCAAAAACTTTATTAAACAAAGTTTGTGTAAAAATTGTTATTATAATAATGAGGAATTTATGGATAACAATAACCCCTGGGAATGAGGTGATCGCTACCAAGCTATTTACAATTTGTTTTATTTTAATTGTGTTAATATATTATCTGATTGTAAAGTATTATTTTCAATGAAAATGTGCTGCTGGGTTCCTTGCTGGCTCTTCGCAGGAGGGATTTTAAGAAGTATTATTTATAATCTATATTGAAATAAAAAAAAATGTTTCTGTTTCTGATAACGGCACAAGTAGCTTTAATATGTTTTAAGATTTACCCTGAGGCTGTATTTTGCCTTCGCTGCTTTAGAGGCTAATAATGTGGCCTCGAGCAAGTTGCATGTAAAGTGGCATATTAAAGTGTTTGACTTGCTACAGACGGAGGGCGAACGCAGTCGCGAAAACGAGTACGGCGATGGGCTGCTGGTGTACCAAAGCGATGGTGACGCGGAGGAGGACTACTCCTCCAGTGCCGTCAGCGAGGAGGAAGTCAAGTACGACCCCTCCGTCTGGCAGTCCGTCATACGTTACGGGCCCGAAGACCGCGAGCTGCACCCCGCTGCTAGAGGGTCAGTCTCACTTGCACTCACCTGTGCATAGCACACGTGACCACACACCTGCACATACCAGCACACACCCATACACACTACCACATCTGCACACATCAGCACCCACCTACACACACATGCGCGGATACCAGCACAAAACCACAACCAACTCCGCATGCCAGCACAACCACCTGCACAAACTTGCACAAAACAGCACACATCAACATACACCAGGCCACAACTGCATCAATACACCAGGGCATAACTGCATGTATCAGCACACATCTGCCTCCACTTGAAAAATTCGTAGTAGTTTTACTGGAAACAAGATATTCCATCTTAGTCCTGTCTTAACAATGCAGATGTGCCTATGTGTCTGCATTATTTTGATACTTAATCGGAGGATGGATGTACTCTATGTGTAAATGCCTATGGGCCACTTAACTACTTACTATCAGGTTAATTCTCATATAGAAGAGGTCACGTAGAAAGAATGAATGAGGAAAGACTGACAAAGCAAATATATGTTGCAGAAGTGAATGGAAGAGACGGAAACGGACGTCCTAGGCGGAAGTTTGTCGGCCAAATTAGCGATATACTAAAAATGGGCCAAATTAAGAGTACCCTTAACCGACGAGCATGTATACGTAGGTATATGGATGTGGAAGAGGCGAGAGAGGTATGTCAGGATCGTGCTAAATGGAAGTCTGTAGTTTCTGCCTACCCCTCTGGGTGACAGGCGTGAGTGTTTATGTTATGTTAATTCTATATTAATTAGAATGCCAAATTTCAATCCCTTGATTGGTGATGGATGCTTAGAATAGTGAGTGTGAGTAGTATGGACAAATATTTAGATATGATGCATATAGAAAGTCATTGTAAGTTTTTATCACCCTAATTCTATAAAAATTGTTTGAAAAATTGTAAGAACAATTTAAAAAAAGAGCTTAGTAATGGGATGTATGTAGGCTGTATGTTTAACTCGAGTTGAGTGAATTCAACAATACAGCGATATGTACTGTCGGACTACAGGAGCGCTGCGGTGGTGACGGTGCGCACGTCGGACGAGGCCGCGGCGGAGGAGGCGGCGGCGGCAGGCGGCCCCGGCGGCGCGGGGAGCGGCGCGGGCGGCACGCGCTCCGACGGCGGCGGCTGGCACCCGCAGCTCGCGCATCTACCGCAGCTGCCGCACCCGCTGCGTAGGCGTCTGCAGGTGGCTATATACACCTCTCGCTTTAACACAGTACAAGTGACCGAGATAGTGATAATAATACACTTCATTGCACATTCGCCTTTTCGATTACAACTCTAAAACACCCAGCCGCGTAGACGCCTGGAAATTACCTAATACACTACATCACCAAACCAGTGAAAGAGATAGAGAGAATAATACTATGGGGTGTTTAACATTTAGTCAAATATAATACTTTTTAAGACTTGTAAAAACAAAGATTATATATTATGTATTATATACTGACGTCAAAGTTTTTGTCGTCAAATAACCATTATATTTGTATATTTTTAAATAATAAAACCGCCGGAGCCCAAAGAGCATTCAGGCGCAGGAACAACGACTTTGTGTACTGTCCACAATAATATAACAGCAATAAATTTCTGACTCCGGGTTGCTACTCTAGTTCGGCCGTTCAGAGAATGCGTTCCTGACACCTATCTAGTCACGACTAGTGATGGGCACAACATAACACTGAGTTCGTTACCGTTCCTCCAAAATGAACCGCCGCGTTATTTTTAACATTATTTTCGTTTCAAATTGGCGGAATGATTTAAAATTTATATTTTAGTAATTTAAGTGGAAACCAAAAAAAGGTAATATTAATATAATAAAATTGTTTTATTTATTCTTTGTTACAAAGTTACAATCTGTATTTCTATGCAATAAAGTACATTGAATTGAATGTGCGTACAGAATATTAATCAGACTCCGATTCGCTTGAGGAGGTGGTGTCTTCATCATCATCTTCGCCTACATGTATAATTATATTATTATCAATAACAGAATCAAACCTGATATCTCGGTCAATATGTTCCACAATCAGGTTTTTAGTCTTCTCTACAACCTTTGCCCAGTCATTTCCTGTGACTTCCCCGCAGGCTTCTTTTAATAGGGTCATCATCTTTTTCGTGCTGAATGGCGGGGAAGTATTGTGGCGGGCGGCGTAAACTTTTATTTGAGCCCAGATTAGCTCAATCGCGTTATATTGGCAATGATACGGTGGAATTCTTAGAACGCGATGACCATACTCCAGAGCCAGTTCATCGATTTCGTATCGCACATTTGCCGCTTTATTTTCTTTAACTAATTTAATTAGCTCTGGTTTTAGCATCTGCATATTTGCGTCAATGGCTTTTGCTTGTAACCAAGCCACCATTTCTTCTTTTTTATTAGCTTGGGTAGGTGGTTTCTGTATTTGAACCGAGTGATAGGAGGCATTATCCATGAATATTACAGAAGGCTCTGGTAGGCTGGGCAAAAGCACGTTCTGGAAGCACTCTTTAAATGTAGTGGCATTCATTTCCTCGTGGTAGTCATTTGTGGTTTTTGATTGAAATGCCAGTAACGCGTTCTCCACAAAGCCGTATTTTGCAGAACCTGCATGGCATATTATCAGACGGGCCCCCTTACCCATTTGTACTTTCGACGTCGACGCTTGTGTATCATCCGTCCAAGAACGGGAAACCGTGTGATTGGCGTTTAGCCATGTCTCGTCAATGAACACGACATTATCCCAGTTATCAATATTTTTTGCTTCTCTCAAAAAACTTATCCGTTTTAAAATTATGTCGTATCGTTGTAATAAAATTTTTCTTTTGTCTGTTTTTTTATACGAAAAACCAATATCTTTTAAGATTTTGGTTAAAGCAGTTTTACCCCCGCTAAACAGTCCAGCTTCTCTTAACGATGCCAAAAGCTTCTTCCTGTTGAGATATTCATTTCTGGAATAGTAACCATATATAAGATTTCTGAGTGTATCGGCGTCAAAGGATATTTGTCACGGGTTTAGTTCTACGTTTCTTTGGAGTACGTAAAATATTATCTTCCGTGCCAGTAAAGCCGAACTTTTCTTTATTAATATTTGTTATCGTTCGTTTGCTAACTCCAAGCGCCTGAGAGACGCGTTCTTGTACTTGTTCGACAGGTAACAGGGGTCCGCCATTTTGTCGCTCCCGCTCAAAGTAATTTTGCAGCTTGATGATTAACTCAGGGGCTCCACTTTTCAATGTTTGTCCACGTTTAGGCATTATTATGCACCAAAAGTAAAAAGAACGCAATACAAAACACAATCGAAGTCCGATTTAGCGCCGATGTCAGTTTGAAAAGCAGAAACAGTCCGTTAAACGAAAGCCGGGTAATAAAATAAAAACAGATCGAAAACACTTGAAGAACGTGGTCTATGCGCACGAAACGATAACAGACGACTGTTTTAGCGTCACAAAATGGCGGCCCATAACGCCATTTGGAGTTACCATTTTCAACCTAAATATAACAATGCTACTTTCTTTCACGCGTTCGGTTTGGTCGTAGTTTTATTTTTATATTTAATAAAAGTTATCTTATAGTCCATTATTTTCAAATTCTTAAAAAGAAAAACAAAACGTATTATTTTATAAAGTATAACTGTATAAGAACAGATTAGAGTTATTGCCTGTTATTGTTAGCACAGCACTACAAATATAAAGCGCTGACATAACCTTGTAATGCGCAGTATAGATTTAGAAAAATATTGTTTACCAAGTTATTTGACACTCAGTTTGGCACGAAATTATAACATTCTTTGATTATTGATATAATAATGTTGTTTTAATGCTCATCAATTGTTAAAACGGTAAACAACCAGCAAAAATATTTTTATCGTAACTGCAACGCCATTACAAAGTTACGTCGTCAGTTCAATCGCGACGTGTCAGGAACGCATTCTCTGAACGGCCGAACTATAAGAATATTCCTGGAAATGTTTGACATAAATAATTCAATAATTTATTTAGGCCTAACCTCACGACCGATATTCGCATAGAATAATTTATAATACACAATAGAATAGCTGTCAACCTTATTTTGTACGACGATAGGCGTCGCCGGGAGCACACATACAAGCAATTACGTCGTATTATTAGTAAATCACTACTACAAACCTGATTCGCTGTGTTGACAGATGGATTTTAATACATATTTATTTGTAAATAGCGTGCAATTTGGCATTTTCTAAATAATTTGCATGCGAAATTTGGAAACGATTGAAACGTCAAAACACATCTTGTGTTGACATTTATACGTGTGAATTGACGTGTTAGTGACATTTTAGTGGCTACACGGGCTCCGCCCACTCCCCCGATCTATTATGTATGTATTATAGTATTCTGTGGATATTCGCATTTATGACCACTAGACCTACCAAAGGCAGGCAACAATAATACAATGCAATGTACACTCGTCTTTTCCATTTTAAGATTTGATAAAAATGCCACGCTTGGCAAGCGGGTTGGCAACCAGTTTTTTTTTTTTAATTTTAAATAGTTATTAGTAAGACACTGCTACTCATCTCCTGTTTTGTTTCCCCTTGTCACCTCTCACGACACCGCCAGGATGATATACAGTGGACCCCCGGTAATCCGGCACCCCCTGTAATCCGACATAGTCTATTATTTATTATTCAATATTTTTTGACAATCTTCGCTAATCCATGATTGAACAAGTTATAACTTGTACGCCCCACCCACATAAATCGTAATAATAAGACAATAGAAGCCGCATAGACGCGTGACCTTGTCGTCGCTTATATGGGTTGACGAACATGATTCACCGTTTAGTGATTTAGTTGTGCGGGGAACGTCGTACGTGAATTTATGTTATTATAAATATATAATGGTACACTCCAGCATAATCAGTTGTAAAAACTCATCAATGACGTGTAATTAAACTAATAAAGGCATAACATTTCATCAGTAAGTTGATTATTTACTAATTATCATTGTTTTAACTATTTTACATCTAGATGAATATTTTACTATGACATTTACCTTTGCAAACTCATTTATCACTTTTCGTATTGTACAATTGTCATTGCTGCTTTTATTCCACAGTAATACGCCACACGCGTGACGTTAACAAGCTCGTTAAGCAACGTAATGTGAAACATTAGATATCATTGTGCATTGCGTATGTTTATAATACGGTAAGATGCGGCGACATCGGTTTTGGAAGTAATCGAGCGCTAATTCATTTCTACTGTCTTATTATTACGATTTCTTTGGCCCCACCTCTATTGCGCTCGACGCGTAGAGTATTGTTTCGATTCTGATTGAAGAATTTGATTCTGAAAATGGTTGAAAGTGAAAGATCATAATTTTCCTCAACAAGTGTTATTGGTCGATAAACTTTTTTCTAGGGCGTCCCTTCCCGACTCGGCCGATCACATCTGCCATATAAATTTGCTTTGTCACTCTTTCCTCATTCATTCTTTCTACAGACCAAACCACCGAAGCATTCCTTTCTTAATCTTGGTCACAACATCATCTTGCATACCACATTTATCTCTTATCACGCAATTTCTCACCCTGTCATTCAGATTCAACCCTAGCATACTCCTTAAAGACCGCATTTCTACAGCATTTATTCTACTTTCGTGCTTCTTCTGCCACACCCAGCTTTCACTACCATACATTAAAGTAGGGACTAACACAGCATTATGAATTACCATACGTGCCTTTTTGGACACATTCTGGTTCTTCATAATAGAGTGTAGTGCCCCATTCACTCTATTCCCCGCATTTACTCGTCGTTCTATATCCCTATCATATCTGCCATCCCTGCTAAATACACATCCCAAATACACAAACTCATCCACTTGCTCAATTAAGTCTCCTTCTATTCTTATTTCACATACCGTTTTTCTTTCTTCTCTTTCAAAAACCGTAACTTTCGTCTTACTTGCGTTCACTTTCATTCCCCTTTCTTTTAATTCCCAGTTCATTAATGTAACCATCATTTGCAACTCAGCCGCCGATGACGCAAATATGACTTGATCATCGGCATACAAAAGGCATTTGACGGTTAACTCGCCCATTCTTAACCCACATTCTTCATCTTTCAAAGTTTGCAAACACCTGTCCATAAATAGATTGAACAGCCAAGGGGAATCTACACAGCCCTGTCTGACACCTTTTTGGATGCCAAACCAGTCCGAGTAGACCCCATTGATCCTGACACAAGCACTAGAGTCCCTATAAAGAGACCTTAATGCCTGTATCAAACCAGTGCTCAACCCATATGAGTTCAGTGTTTGCCATAAAACATTCCTGTCCACTCTGTCTGTCATAAGCCTTTTCTAAGTCCATGAACGCACAAAAAACTTTCTGGTTTTTGGCCAAAAACTTCTCCGCAATCATGCGCATGGAAAAGATTTGATCTGTATACCCCATTCCCTTTCTAAAACCCGCTTGCACATCCCAAATTTTTCCATCAGTTTCTTTCATAACTCTTTCAATTAACACCTTAGCATACAGTTTACCCACAATACTAAGCAAGCTGATACCACGGTAGTTTTTGCAGTCCCGCTGTGACCCTTTTCCTTTTTCCTTTGTATTGTTTATCGACCAAATTGGCGATATTTTGAAAAGGGGCCACGTTAGAAGTACCCTTAACCGACGAGCATGTATGCGTAGATATATGGATGTAAAGGAGGCGAGAGAGGTATGTCAGGATCGTGCCAAATGAAAGTCCGTAGTCTCTGCCTACCCCTCTGGGTGACAGGCGTGAGTGTTTATGTATGTATGTATGTAGTGTTATTGCTTCTTGATAACGCTCTTAAATTGATTGATTCATAATTTTTGATTATTTTAGTATGTACATTTGTTTGTAGACAATTATTCCCTGATGTAAAGTTATTGCACATTTTTTGTGATTTCTTTAGCTTTAATGACGTTAATTTTATAATAAAAACGTAAGCTCTCTATTGTGTTATTTAATTTACTAAATTTGACGTACATAATGAAATGTGAATTGTACTTCAGAGTAACATATAGAATCTTATTATTGGATCTGTAATTTGTCGGATTACAAGGTACTCTATTGTAAAAAATTCCGGACTATAGGGGGTCTTAGGCGGTACTCTATAATTCGACAAATTATCGGAAAAAATATATATATATATATATATATATATATATATATATATATATATATATATATATATATATATATATATATATATTATATAAGTGCGACACTGCCCTGCAAAATGTTTGTCGGAATTATCGGAGGTCCACTGTATAGTGGATATTCTTACACCGCCACACACGCTCATACATATAAACAAGTAGTTTTTCGTGCAGGTGATTCCAAACAGTGTGACGGCAGAAGGCGAGCGCGACAAGTTCAAGTGCCTGTACCTGCTGGTGGAGACGGCGGTGGCGGTGCGCCAGCGGGAGAAGGAGCAAGAGGAGGTCGCCGTCTAGTGCCGAGTAAGTTACGCAATAGAATAATATATAGAGTACTTTATACAATAAACATTACAACAAACTGGTTTAGTATAGCCAACTATCAAGTTATAGTAGGCATTGATTTTAAATTATTAATTACTTGCGATCTGCCCCGGCTTCGCACGAGATATTTCTGGACCTCCACAATAGCGCCACCTACCGGGTCTAAGTTTAATTCCAAACCATCCAGGAACACATTCAAAACACACAAAATTTCATTGAAATCAGACAGCAATTGTGTTTTTTATTAATAAGAGATAATATTTTGAATAATATTTTAACAATTTGAACTACGATGTGATCGATGTGGACTATCTAAACGAGGTGTCTTCGTCACAGTCTAGTGGTTAGATGTTAGACTGAGACAATTCGGAAATAAAATTATTTGAATATTGTAAGCAAGTTTATTTAATGACTTATTTTTGACTTCCCGGTGATATGAAGTATCATTTTTATCACTTCGTAGTTCACACAACCCTTTTCGACAAAATTTTCCGCCAAATAATTTTACGACCGTTCCGGCTAGGATGAATAACGCGACTAATTCACATCGGTATAAAGAGGTCGTTTAGTGGCGCCATTTTAACGCGCATGCCCAGAGGGGAGGGGAAGTGGATGAAATTTAAAATCGCTTTATAACGTGCATATGCCGATGGATAAAATACTCCATTAATTTTGTCAATTTTTCAGGTAAAATGATTGAACTAACTTCGCTCATAGAAGCATTCACTGCTGAATTCTCTCGGTTTAGGCGGCTAGGGATTGTGTCGTTCGCGCGTCGAACCAAGTGTTACATTACTTCAATTTTTCAATATGCGTCCAAATAACATTCTTTAAAGAGCAAAGTTTATCTTCATAGAATTGTCTTGATAATGAAGTAACTTTCGTTCGTAAGGATTAATATACCATGCCTAATAATAACGCTCATAAAATCACTTATCAATTTTCAATAATTTTTTGTCACAAAATACCTTATTGTAGCTTATGTATAAGAAATAGGCATATAATATCGCAAACTTTTTTTAGATAGAGTAAGAGAGGAGATCTATAATTTTGTAGAACATTGTATTTATATATCACTAACCATTACGTCAACGCACTCCGATAAATCATTTCGGAAGCGCTTTTTCTTCTGACTTGCACATAAATATGTACATAAATAAAAAAAATACATAAATCAGTATTTAAGGCTAGCTGAGAGGTGTGGCCTTATGCTAGATAGCCTATACTATTTCTCATAAATGTGACTGTAATATACAAAAAGAATTTTTCAAATCGGACATGTAATTCCAGAGATTAGCGTTTAAACAAACAAAAAAACTCTTCCGCTTTTGTTATATTAATATAATAATTATAGATTTACAATTTGTTTGTTCGGTGGTCTATACTTGTATGGCAGTGGGTTAGTGGTAAAAAATGAGAGGTCATTGAATAAAAGACAAAATATATTGCTCTGTCAGATCAGCAAATGAACAACAAAATATTATCCTCCCTACACTAGTTTTTAACATTCTTTATGTAATATTAATGTTGCTATATAACGCAACAATGTAGTACGATATTTATATAATTCTTCTGTACATGTGGACAGAAGAATTATATGAACTTTTTTTATATATAGACGTTATCACTGACCTCCTAAAAGGATGGACCAATTTTGATAAATTATTTTGTGTGCTCAGTTAGTTCCTGAATGGTTTACATTCACATTTGGGCCCGTCACCCGTGCGCAGCCGAGACATATCGCAGGTTTATTATAAAACGTTTTGAAACAGCATTAATTCCCAGTGATTATTATATTTTTGCCTGTGCGTATTGCAGCCACACATATTCCAGTTATCTACTTTGTGGACAGTTTTGTTATATATTATTATATATTTGATAATTTGTCATGGAGTATTTTATCGAGTCAATTAAAACACATAAATAATTTTTGTTTCAGGTCTACGGCATATAATGTTGCTAAATGGACTCTACAACACCAGAAGCAATTGCATTGTTCACATAAAGGAAATACTTGAATATTCAAATGTATGCTGAATGCTTCATATTTGGGTGACTTTGGCTTCATCTATGAACATGATCTATATATTTAGATTTGTTCTTGTACTGTTCAATATTTCTATTTAAAAGCTATTCCATGTTCTGTGAGTATGGAAAGAGCGCTTTATAAAATGTTCAATGTCTCAGGAACAGTGGTTCAAACGAAAAATTTTTTTTTTTTAACACAAACATATTTCACGTGAAGAAAAACTGTGTCACGATATTTTTAATTTTCTAACACTATTATAAAAAAAATATTTCCCATTTAATAATGGCAATACCTATGTAGCATGAATATTTACATTAACTATTTGAAGTTAAAATTTTATTTTCAAATAGTCTCAATTGATTGGGATTATTTAAAAATAACTTAAAACTTTTCTTTTTTCAAAATCCTTTATATAATCTTCAAATTAAATGATTGAAATATCGATTATTTCAGTACCATTTAATTAGAAAAAAAAATTATATATTATTATTCAATTGTGGTGATAACCATATAGCATGAATCCTGCTGCATTCTTATATTTGATGTTAAGTTTTTTTTAAATAATATCAATTTATTGAGATTCTTTTAAATTAATTTTTATAACTTAAAAAGTTATTTTTAATTTAAAGATTATTTCAAAATCAATTATTACGAAATCAAAAAGTTCTTCTTAAATTGTTACATATACAACATTCTTATATTTTTAGTAACAACACTGCCACTCTAAGCACTAAAACCCTCTCGGATATGAGAGGAGGCCTGTGCCCTGGAATGGGATAGGTTTATAATAGCCTGTTTCTTTACTGACGTACAGTCAATTTATCTATAATATGAAAATACAAAATACACGTAATAATACACTCAGAGGGGTAGGCAGAGATTATATGGCCTTCCATTTCGCACGATTTTGATACACTTCTCGTGTTTATAATTTTAGTAGGCAATAAGTGATTTATACTTATATAGGCAATAAGTAGGCATGCTATAAGGAAAACCTTGAGGAAAGAGTTATACATTTAAATTTTAGAAATGTATCTTTTTATCAATTTACGTTAGATACAATAACAAAGATTTCTTCAAATCCTGTATTTTGGACTATTAAACGAATAATATCAAAAGCTTAAAAATATTTCAAAGGCACACATTGATCATACAACTGTGGTGATGCTAGTGGTCATATAATAAAATTACAAAATAAAACTACGTCAGCAAGTTGGTGAAAACTTAATTGCATACAGGTCAAGCTTATAAAAAGCGTAAAAGGGGTTTAGGTTACATATATGCCAGTGAATAAACTTAACCAATATTGCCAAAAATATTATATGCCTTTTGCGTACAGTATTTGGTACATACATAAATACATACAGATCAGACTCATAAAAAGCGTGTAAAAAAGGAATTTTGGTTAGATACAATATAAAACTGTGAAATATTTGAAACAGTAAATATATTATTGCAAGTGAAACTTAATCCATATTACTAAAGAAAGTATTATATACATTTGCGTGTAGTATTTGGTATTTTTTATAAAAAAAAATAAATGGATGTACAAGGGTTTTTGTTATTATTATAATATAATATGGTTTACATTAAAGTAACCCCTCTCTCCCCTACAGCTCGCTCTACCATATGTGACACATCGCTCGACACCAATGAACGCACATAAAACTAATAAAATAGAAAGTACTAATAAAATTAAATTGCTTGAAAATAGAGCTGCGGACATGTTTATTTTGTCATGATATATGACATGATAACACATGAACAGTTTTTGTGTGCTTCACATTAAAAAAAGGTCCTTAAAATAGCGTCAACCTGTGGCGTGGTGTCTTAGTAGTGACTAGCGGCGGTGAGTGAGAGAATCGCACAAATGAAACAAGAGACAAGTAATTGTTTTCTGGTCTAGTATTTGTATGGCCTGCAAATAATTGTTCCGGGTCTAGTATTTGTATGACCTACAAATAATTGTTCCGGGTCAAGTATTTGTATGTCCTACAAATAATTGTTCCGGGTCTAGTATTTGTATGACCTACAAATAATTGTTCCGGGACAAGTATTTGTATGGCCTACAAATAATTGTTCCGGATCTAGTATTTGTATGACCTACAAATAATTGTTCCGGGTCAAGTATTTGTATGGCCTACAAATAATTGTTCCGGGTCTAGATGTTTGTCCTTGTGCAATTTATGTTTGTAAATTGTCTCCACTATGCAGAAAAAAAATCTAGTGCGGTGATAAGATTTTTAATGAAAGTATAAAGAAATCTCTTTTGCATTAAAAATGTTGGAATTTATTTTCACGTGTGATTACATCATATATTACATGTGTATAGAGATGAGGTAGAAGTTTAACTTCAATCTTATGATATTTCAATACATAGCTTTGATCTACCTTCTATAGGAAGTCTTAATATAAAGGTTTTGTATATAATTGTTACTAATATAATTAATTCTCTATTTTTCCATTTAGAAGGATAATATATTGTTTGTCCATACATTAGGTTGTGCTATTATCCGGGAAACAAATAGAGGGTTTGCGTTCTTAGTTATGAAGCTGATATAGAATTAACTAAAACTAATTCTACGTGTGGTTTATGAAAGAATCAACTATTTAAAATAAACATAACGTTTTCCTACTTATCCACTTAGTATAAATGATCAATAAAATGTAAAGCTTAAAAATTGTTTTAGAATTCTGCTCAATATAAAACTGCCATATTATCTTTCATATGAAACAAACTCATGAAAATCTGTTTGTGTTTTTGTGCATAACAATCTTGACTATAAGAGGTAATTATTTTATAATCACTAAAATTACTATAAAATACCAAAATATGTATTATATAGGAAACACTGACTGGCTTTATAAAATTCTATTATTGTGTTTTTATTAAAACTGTATGTATCTTTACTTTCAAAATAACTGCAGATATTTCAATTCAAATGTTATATTTTATAAGTTACAAAAATATGTCACTGTATTCAGTTTCAATTAGTGACTTTTATTCTTTGAATAAGCTATTTTTTTGAACTTTATCCCTGTCCTTTATGATGATAGTGTAATTTAAGTGACAAACGAATTTACAGTCCTCTTTTATTACTTCCCGTTGTGACAACCCTAGCAATTCATTGTTTATGTCGGCTTTCCCGACAACATCAAACACAATGACTGACCGTACGTTCTTCTTAGGCTGTGCCCTCAGCCTATAATACTAAATCTCTTTACCCTTCAGACCGGAGCAAGCACTGCTATTAGGAGAAATAGGTGAAAAACCTACACAGTTAGATTATTAGACCAACTAGTGATTGAAATATTTCGATACGTCTTGATTATCACTTAATGAATGATCGATTTGTTTACTACATTCAGTTATAATCAAGTATTTATTGACTTAGTGATTACACAAAAACCTTATGTTTATATTTAAAATACCTAACTTTATCTATAAAACATACACGATATATATGTAAACATGTATAAATGTTAACGATTATCGGTAGTGTGTAGCATATATAGAAGATATATTTTCGAAATATGTAAATTTAGCTTTATATATTATATATGTAATATTTTCAATAGACGGTTGAAAAATTAAAAGGTAGTTGTAGGCGGTAATTAGCTGTTCGTCAACTTCTTACATATTATAACTTAGAATTTTGTATACACAATGCTTCCAAGTAAATATGGATGAATTTAAACTTGCAAAGCGGGCAAGTTGTTAAAAATTCTATCTAATAACATTTCTAGAATTGAATAGTTAAAAATAGCAGCACGGATTGTTAGCACAACTTTGACTTGCGCACTAGTCGATATACAGGTCTCTTTTATGAAGGCAAAAGGCGCGGGTGTTGTAAAGACTTGAACGTGATTGGTTCGTCAGTTATCCATCGTCATTTAATGGATATTTATGTGTTTTTCTTGTTCTGTTGGCTGGGAAATGTACTTGTCCACACTCTGTCACTTTGTGCTCACAACTCGCGCCTCTATTTATACCTACTTGAGGAATATCATATCGACGCTTTGCCGATGTCACTATATAAAAGGTTAAACATAGTTATATATTAACTATTAATTTTTTATACTTACATAGGTGTATAGAGCTATCATATAGCCACGGGTAAACATTCACTAATAATAATCCTGTTGATCAAATGATTGAATATAATTTTCACGATTAAAAATATTTCTGAAAAAATTTATATACAGAGGCAATTTTTATTTACAATTTATAACTAACTATATATTAAACATATACTGGTCCTATATCTAAATGTAGTGCAATGTGTCACAATTAAACACTATCTGTATTTAAGATCTATTTAAGGTATTCGTAGCTACATTTAATGTTATCTTTTGTAACTACATGTAAAATGACCATAGAGAAGGCTTTAAATTTTAATGTAGAGTTAACAAGTGCTTACGCGTCATATTACTTATGATACAATAATAATAAAATAACGATGAGACGTCTTATGTTTATGTGAATTACGTTCGTAACTTTGTTACGATGCGGCTATTTGGTTTGAATTTTAAACATGTCAGGTCTTTTATAGTGTGCCAAGCATCTAAGAAAATGTAATTATTTTATTGTTCATTTCATGCATAATATGCAAATAACGTTTTGGTTATGATTTCCGCCATTTTGTGTTTCATTTTTTTTTTACAAAATGGATCCTTACTAATATTAAATGTAACTTTTATGTTGATGGTACTGGCCCTATTTGTTAATTTTACTTAGCTTTAAAGTAAGTTGTAAGGTAACTTGTTTTAGTGTTCGACAGAAGCAAGGTGTTTTTTCGTTCTTAGTTTACCTGAGTACAGTACCCGGACTAATTTTCGTGTTCCCGCGTCTTTTTGTATATACTTGTGTGTAAGATTCGTATGTAGTTAGTGATTAAAATAAAATTTGAGTTCGCCGAAATGCTTTTTATTTTATAATTGGTCCCACACACTGACAATAAAAACCAGAATTCTATTCAAACTACATCTGAGCTTAGAACTACAGTTAATTCATTCATATCTGAATGGAAAAACATGGCATGAGAATGGAAACAATTGTAAATCACTATCAGATAGGTTGGATTAATCGTTTTTATTAACTTATAATTACCATTACTATCATTAGAACTTGGGTATTCTTAATTTATCTATTGTTCGGTAATTTTAATCCGAAACTATTTCGAGTTTGTTTGAGATACTGCCCCGCCGCTTGGAGGACCCACCATCACTCGCGGGCGATTTCCGCTTCCCCGCCTCTTCAGTGTTACCACTTCCCTCAATAATTATATCCGGTGTCGGTATTGCCATCAGCAACGTGTCTAGGCTGCTGTTGTCTTTGGAGAGCGATGCGCGCTCATCTGTTGACAATAGAATAGAATATAATAATATTTATTCAATTCAGATTAAGTGAATACTTAATGAAAATCATTTGTTTTACCATAGGTTGGAAAAAATTACTATTTTTTAATATTTTCTGGGACTTTGTTGTAAAAGCGTATACATTGCTCCATGAAGGAATTACTGTATTTTGAGTCTAACAACTGGTACCCATTACTAGCTTGATATTTAGAGAATTTGTATAATGTATATACGTGGTAGAGCCATGCTGCAGTCATATTAGTAGTATAGTAGTAGCGACTGCCTCGTTGGTTTAGTGGTTGTAGCAGTACGACTACTGATCATGAGGTCCTAGGTTCGAATCCCGGATCGGGCCAAAAAATTAATTATTGAGTTTTTCGTCCCAGTAGTTGCCCGGAGTCAGGGGAGTTGGTGGTGTCTCACCCCCATGCCTCGGAAAGCACGTAAAGCCGTTGGTCCTGCGCCTGATCTCTCTCCGGTCGTGTCGGTTTACCGTCCTATCGGATTACGAGAGTGAGGGAATAGAGAGTGCACCTGTGCTTGCGCATACACTTGGGCACTATAATCCTGTCCTGCGCCGATGACTAGTCTCCGTTGAAGCAGGCCGCCGTGGCCGAAATTCGGTCTGGAGGACATTATTATTATAGTAGTAGCACGAATGGGTCGGCTCAATCGGGGAAGGACCACGCTCTCACAGAATACCAGCGTAAAATAGTAGCTTAATGCTGCAGTGTCTCGTGTGGTGAGTGCAGTCAACCGGAGACCCTTTTTACTGGAAACAGAGCATTCTATCTTAAACCTCACGGGTGACAACGCATCTGCATTTTGATTCGTAATCGGGGGTAGATGTAGATGTCTATGGGCCACAGCAACCACTTACCATCAGTTGGACTGTGTGCTTGTTTGTCACCCTATCCTATGAAAAAATGTACATTCTGTTAATATCAAGGAGACATCACTATAATTTTAAAATACTTACCTAATATTAAACACAGAACTACTTTTATTTTTATGTACATATATTAAATCTTCGTAAATATACTGAGCGGCCAAAGATTTTATATTATTTTATGTATATATTATATTACTTATTATTATATTTATTTCTCTAAGATAATTCTTCGGACTTAGATTATAAATTGCTTTTATGGCTATCTTCTGCATAGATAATATGACAGACATTAACAACTTATGATGAGAACTACTTACGGCCTATTTTAACTCCGACGACAACTTTCAAATAAATTCTTAAGTAATAATTACAATGTACGTATGAAAATTCACCAGTCTAAAACTGCGAAGCTCGGTACTATGACAAAATCCTCTATGCAGTACCTGTTGGGTAAGTCTATCTTCAGCAGTATATTTTTGTATGCTGTAATAGATAGAATAGCCAAATACGTTCTTTTCTTAATTACATTGAAAAAATATTGTATAGGGGGCACATCTCCCATATACTGATTCTTGCAGTACTTTGATACATCTCACTTTGCACACGAATTTGTAACTACAGTACCAGATCACTCGCACTTGTAACGCTGGTCAGTGACGAAGGACCCAGTAGTTTACGTCTGGTATTACGAAGACCCATTTCGTTTAGTGCCATACGTATACTAGGCAATAAATCGCTATCTGTCGGAAGTCATGAGATCAGTATTTCCTATTGTATATTTGTATATTCCTATATACTATTCGCTACAAGGCGAACTTTTTCTACCCTATCGATTGTCAGTTCTTCAAACTATATGGCAGACTAATGACAGCTTCAGCCTACTGATTCGTTGCAATATGTCGGTTACTCTAGTTCTACAACGGTATCTTTATTACATAATATAACATAACATAGACACACACCTGTCACTAAGAGGGGTAGACAGATTACTACCGTCGCCAATTTCTCTCGCCTCCGCCACATCCATGCACCTACGCATACATGCTCGTCGGTTAAGGGTACCTTACCCATACGTAGTAGAGCCATGCTACAGTTATATTAGTAGAATAGTTGTAGCACTAATGGATCTGCTCGACCGCGGAGGGACCACGCTCTCACAGAATACCAGCATAAAATAGCAGCTTAATGTTGTGTTTCGTATGGTGAGTGTAGAGAACCGGATACCCTTTTTACTGGAAACGAGGCATTCCATCTTGGTCCTCACGGGTGACAACGTATCTGCATTTTGATTCGTAATCGAGGATAGATGCAGTTGTCTATGGGCCACAGCAACCACTTACCATCATGTGCACTGTGAGCTCGTTTGTCACCCTATCCTATAAAAAAAACCTACTCTTAATTTGGCCCAATTCCAATATATTGCCAATTTGGTTGATAAACTTTCAACTAGGGCTTCCCTTTCCGACTCTGTCGTTCACTTTTACAACATAGACTTGCTTTGTCAACTTTCTCGTAAACTCTTCCTACAAGACAATTTTTAATACGTTTTTTTTTATAAAGAAGATTTTACAAACGAACTTGATCCACCTGGTGGTAATCCATGGACACCTGCAGATAACTTTATACAAGGAAGGCAACAGCTGCGTTGTCACCTCTGACGACTAAGAGAAATGACCCAAAGCCTATCTTAGCTCTACAGCTCTTTATAATTCATTAAGGCCGAATACGACGCGAATGACCATGCTCGTTTCGCAGCAAACCACGCGCCGCCCGTACGCTTTGTTTATATAGACATACGGGCTTTGATTATATTATATTTGACTGAGCTAGCTCAGGTATGCAGAAGGTAATGAGCCCAACACAGAGCACATCCCGATAGTGGAGGAAATGTATGAGGATATTTCTAGATCCATGCATTCCTCCAAAACGCACTAATATTAATTGGAGACTTCAACTCAAAACTAGGCACAAGGAAGAACGGTGAGCTGAAAGTAGGGAAATTTGGGATAGGGCAACGGAACCCAAGGGGTCAGCAGCTGGCCGACTTCACGGAGAAAGAGGGACTCTTTATGATAAACTCTTTCTTCCAGGAGCGGCCCCACAGAAAGTGGACCTGGACCTACGGAACCTACGTCTGAACCCTACCGTTCCACTAAAAATGAGATTGACTTCATTATGACGACTAGACGACAACTGTTCAGTGATGTCTCAGTGATCGCAAGGGTGAAAACTGGCAGCGATCACCGAATGGTTAGAGGCACACTGAACCTAAACGTTAAGTTGGAGAGGTCTCGTCTAATGAAGTCAACGCTCCGTCCATCTCGTGCTCTAATCCAAAATCCCGCAGCCTTTCAACTCGAGTTATAAAACCGTTTACAGTGCTTAGAAGATTGCAATGCAGTGGACGATGTGAATGATAAGCTCGTGGAAGCTGTCCAACTGATCGGAGCTAAGTTCTGCAAGACCCGCCGCAGAAGAACACAAAAACTCTCTGATGACACGCTTAATCTCATGGCTGTTAGACGGAAGATGAAGTTGCAGTCGTCTGCAGATTTGACAGCATACAGGCAACTGAACAGACAGATCTTCAAATGCATGCGGCGAGACTTACGCAACTTTAATACTGCTCGTATTGAAGAAGCGATCGAGCGGAACCAGGGCTCCAGTCTTTGCCAGAGATCTGTCTGCCAGAAAGAGCCAACTGTCAAAGCTGAAGATTGAATGTGAGAGCATCGTTTTCGGGACATCTGAGATTTTGAGTGAGATTAAGATTAAGGTTTTATAGGCAGCTGTACTACACATCATCGTTGGAGCCACACGCAAGTGTGAGTAACGATCCAAGAGCAAGTCTTATCCGACACTATTCCGATGATATCCCGGACGTCAGTCTGAGTGAGATTAGAATGGCTCTCCAGCGCCTTAAAAACGGTGGCCTCAGGCGAGGATGGAATTACAGCAGAGCTTCTGAAAGCGGGTGGAACACCGGTACTTAAAGTCCTTTAGAAGCTCTTCAATTCCGTCCTCCATGGTGGCATTAGTCCGGAGGCGTGGAGCAGAAGTGCGGTGGTCTTGTTCTTCAAGAAAGGCGACAACGCTCTCTTGAAGAACTACAGACCGATTTCCCTTCTGAACAATGACGGATTAACCACGTAGCAAGAGTAGCAATTGCTACGGGCTCCGCGCAAAAAAGGGCCCCGCGTATCCAAACCTGCCCTTCACCGCCTAAGCGTAATTTTTTTGAGTGAAACTTATGAAAACGTAGTAGGTATATTGAATTACTTGATGTCACAAAAACGTGAAACGTTGCACCTTTTCCATCTAAGACAATCCACGTGAGACTATCGATAACCGATAATTTCGTTGGCGAAAATAAAAAAATTATTTCATACGGTAAATGCACAAGTTTCAACGCCGAATGACTCGTTTCTCGTACTACATATAAAATGTTCTTGAGTGGGACGATACCCTCCACTAGATGGAGTGACGACCTGGTAAGACATTCAGGAAGTCGATGGATGCAGGTGGCTCGGGACCGTGCTTTGTGGCATTCCTTGGGAGAGCCCTACATTCAGCAGTGGACTTGTGAAAGGCTGAAATGATGATGATGATTATGTCATAATATCTCCTCTACATCTAGGTAGCCGTTTTCCTTACAACAGTATTAAAATTGTGTAATTTTTTATTTTATGATTTCTAATAAATTAAATTTGTTTTCATGGTTTTAGTGCTCGGTGATTGTATATTTCGAATGCGAAAACGCGTTATTTGTTTTATTCATATAGAAAAATATATAAAAAAATGATATATCACCTATAAAACAAGCTAAGTAAATATTTCACCAAAGGGAAATATAAAATAACATTATTTAAAATACTCAATAGCAATATCAGAATACTGTCGTAAGTATTGGAAAACAAAATTATTCTTTACTGACGTTGCTGAAACTGTGTAGATGGTTGCTTGTGAAAGAAAATAAGCCATATGGAAATAAGAATTCTCTAATCAGCATTAACCAAAACAACGCGATAAATTTGATGTAAAACAAATCAGCGTATTATGACACTTAAGACGTAACAACAAAACTCTGCGTAAGCACTTGTAATAATGACAAACAAGTAATTTGATACTTAGCATCTTTTTCGTGACCTATGCCCTATGTGCGTGTGCCTAATAGCCGTTAGTATGCGATTACTAAAAACTTATTTTAAAATAAACAATAAGTCATTTACCATTTTTAAATCTTAGTCTAGTTTCTTTGAAATTAAATTAAATATTTATTTGCGTTTGGTTAAGATACATTGAAGATAGTAATAGTAATTAGACATCCGCTTAATCATAAATTATTAATGGCATACAAATCCTACAACTATAAAATGCCAATATAATAATATTTTAGAGTAAAATGTCTATAATAACAAAACGTTAACAAGTTATTAATAAATAGGTAATAATAATAATTAATAAAGATTTCATAATTGGTCCATTTTACTATTGAATTGGGTGCAAGTGCCGGATTGAGACCTTGTAAGTTTCTGAATTAAATTTGATGCCCTTAGCAATCCATCCCTAATCCGGCCCCAGTAAACTGTATCGATCTTTAAAAAAAACGTTTTATTACAAAGAGACCAATGATTACATACTTTTCTTAATATATAGTTTCATTTAACAAAAAAATCTCAAGTTTTTTTGGATGAACTATACCTTAGATAACTTCTAGCCCCGGCATTGCTCTCTATATGTCCGTGAAGGTTCATCACAATCGGTTCAGGTATTCCAAATATTAGCCCGGGCAGACAGACAGACAAAATGTTTACAAATGGTTATTAATAGCACACAAACAACCCCCCAGCCCCCCTCAGCTCGATAAAAGGCAGTTATTTCGATTTTATAGACAGACACTTTAATTTTATTTATTTGTACTTATAGATTGAAAAGAGATGATTACTCAGTTAAGACAACTTTAAATTCGCGGTAGGCAGCCTTTACGGACAGGAATGAGCCGTCGTAGTTCAGATGGTTAGCGCTCGCTGTAAATTTCACAGTACGCGAGCAAACCGGGTTCAATCCCCCCGGCACCAATGAAATTGTTAATTGCAATGTTAAGTGCTGATTTACCACGTGCTCGGCGGTGAAGGAAAACATCGTGAGGAAACCTGCATGTCAGAGAAATAAGAGAAAAAAATATATCGAAGACGGTGAAGTTCACCTAACACGCATTGAGGCAGCGCGGCGGACAATTCCTTGCCCTAAAACCTTCTCAGAAATTAGCGGACGCCTGTGCCCAGTAGTGGGACGTATATGGGCTGTAACTTTACTTTACTTTTATAGATTGAAAAAACGACTTGGCACTTTTCCAAACAGCAGATTCGCGATCAATAAAATTATTACAAAAAAAAAATAGATTGATAGAATCAGGCGTTACTTTGCGGAAATCCATTATAATAAAAAATAAAAATATAAATTTCTTCGCAACCTTCCGCTAAACAAATACAATGATGTGTCTTACCTGGATTGAAGAGCACCTCTCGCCCTCCCTCAATTGCATGCACTAACTCCGTCACCACTAGTCCCAGCACCACTACTCCCAACACCACTATTCCAGGCAAGACACACCATCGACGATAATACAACACGTGTTTCGCCTCTACACGAGGCATCTTTCCCTCGCCTCGTGCCCACGTGGAGTTAGTGCATGCAATTGAGGGAGAGCGGGAGGTGCTCTTCAATCCAGGTAAGACACATCATTGTATTTGTTTAGCGGAAGGTTGCGAAGAAATTTATATTTTTATTTTTTTAAAAAATAGGTCAACGTTCAGTTGCATACATTTTTACGGTGCCACAAAAGGAACATGATTGTTAAGGGCAAGTGTTTAATTTGCAAAAGATGTAGAAATTCCAAAATTTTAAATAAATCCCGTAGCTATTACTGGAGGATCTGCTAACCAAGATCCATTTAATAATTCATATAGATGTGTAAACATAAGGAAATCGTACTTCATAAAAAATGCACGTCATATGATTCTTCAAAGGTCCATAAATTACGTGAGATGTTTAAGGGGGGGAGGGGGTCGATTCAAATCTCATCTAATCTTACGTTGGAGAGAGGGGGAGTATCGCCAAATATCACGCAATTTTTTTCTGATTGAAACTAAAAAATTATACTATTTTGGTCAGGTACATGGTTAAGATTTCATCTTAAGCGTATATCGTAATACGATTATCGTATTCTATTGTGAAATTTTTATTACACTTATAACTCTCAGCAATATTGATTACTAGTCTTAAATAAAAGCACGTAGCAAATTTTTTTTTACAATAACAATCCAACACGTTTTCGTAAGAAACCCACATTTTGAAAAATCTCACGTGAGATTGGGGGATGAAGTTGAATAAAATCTCACGACATCTCACCAAGGGGGAGGGAGGGAGGGATAGAAAGTTAAAAAAAACACCTCACGTAATTTATGGACGCCCCCAAAGGAGTTCCAGACAAGGCTCGTCGAATTTGATGTTAGAAATGTTTAGAAATAGGATACTATGTTATGCTAACCTAGACCAGATTTCTGTTTGAGAAGTTGCTTCTGCCGGAATTCTTCTTGCGCGAGTCGCTGGCGTCGCTTCCTCTCCGCACGCGCGTCCTCTTCGCTGCCGTCGGCCTTGCTCCCCTCCTGTTCAGGAACTGACGCTTTAATCTACCTATATCGGGTTTGTCACAAGAAGGTTTAACGACCTTTAGCTTTAGAATAAAGGTGACAAACGAGTACACGCCCTCCACCCGATACTAAGTGCATGCTATAGCCCATAGACATCTACGTTTATCCTTCATTAAGAATCAAAATACAGATGCGTTGTCAATATTGAGGATTAAGATGGGATAGCTCGTCTCCAGTAAAAAGGGTCTCGGTTCTCTACATATATACAATGTCCTCCAGACCGAATTTCGGCCACAGCGGCCTGCATAAACGGAGGCTAGCCATCGGCGCAGGACAGGATTATAGTGCCCAAGTGTATGGAACACAGTGCACTCTTTCCCTCATCTCGTATCCGATGGGACGGTAAACCAACAACCGGGAGAGAGATCAGGCGCAGGACCAACAGCTTTACGTGCTTTCCGAGTCACGGGGTGAGACACCCAATTTCTTGACTCCGGGCAGAATTTCTTGACAGAAAAACTCAATAATTGATTTTTCGACTCGACCCGGGATTCGAACCCAGGACTCATGATTAATCTGCTACAACCCTAACCGACGAGGGAGTCAATCGAAAAGTATCGATACAACATTGCGATATATTACATATCATATAAAACACCAGCATTAAGCTGCTATTTTATGGTAGTATTCTGCGAGAGCGTGCTCCTACTCCGGTCGAGCCGAACCTTTCGTGTTACAACTATAATATAACTGCTGCATGAATCCATCAAAGTCAAAATATTTTAATGACAAATCAGCTTTTACAAAGCACTTTTTGAAAGTGAAGAATAGAAAGAGAGCTACGTCATCGCTTCTACAAGATCAAGTTTCTACTAAGGAAGATCTTTGAGTAAAGCGGTAGGGAACTCACAAGTAGACTATTTTTCTGCCAACAGTCACAATTTAACCATATAAAATATATAGATATAGACATTAGTAAAAAAAAAGTTATAAGGAAGTTCACCACGTCCTCGCAATCTTATTTTTTAAGTAATCATCTCATTCAAAATATTTTTTAAAATTATGCTTTTTTGCGCTTTGAATCCATGCAAATGCATGCAGTATCACAGGGAATCTTGTTATACACAGTAATACATCTATCTAGACAAAAATGAGCCGCTAGTTTTATACTTCAACCCACAATGCGTTCGTTGAGGTCTTAAGAGACGACTATGGAAGTAGTTAAAAAGACCTCATGATCTCTTATAAAATAGGTCATCAATCCACCGGCGGCAATCATTATCAAAAATTCTATTAATGGCAAATAGCTCTTAGGTTCTTTGTCTTCTGGCTATTTGCAACCCAGGAATCAGAAGTGATCTCGACAGAGTGAGACTTACAATCATAAACCAGTTTCAGTGAACTCACCAAGTTGTTGAATAAATCCGACGATCGTAAATTTTTACGAAAGCTTACAAAATAAAATTAAAAACACAAATTTTAGTATTTTACTATCAGTACAAAATAATAATAATAATCTAAAGATTATCTAATTTATACCTGCACACGCCTCCCTTATTTTGTTAGATTTTATCACTTTTATCACGTCAAGTATGAAAAAAATTATACAATCCATAAAATTATCAAATATAATAACAAAGGGTATACAGATTTTGTAGTTATATTAAGGTAATTGTGACAAAATCAAATACAAGGAAAGCGCGTACTGTTTTAAATTAGACGATTTCTGCTATTCATTAAAATATTTTTACAACATGATTTAAGATGTTTAGTTTTCATCCAATCCATCCACTACAGCCTATGAAAGTCTACTGCTCAACATAGGCCTCCCCCATAGATTGCTTCATAGGGGGGAGTTTTGCCATAGTTGCCACGCACGGCAAGCGAGTCGATCAGGAAGATGCAGCTGCCCATCTCCTGTTTCAGGTTCCCTCTGTCGCCTGTTACGACACCCACGGACGATATGGTGTAGTGGATATTCTTATATATTTAACGACGATTTAAGAGTTATAGTTTTAAAAGAAATGCGGCAGTATGTAAACGATTGAATTCAAATGAAAACTAAAACTTGATAGAAACAAGGCTGGCGAGCAAAATCTTTGTGAAAGAGTAAACCAAACAGAAAGAAACAATCAATAAACGCAAATAAAAAACGACTATTTATGTCAAATATTTATACTAGTTTGCATATATATGCATGCGAATTAGAAATTTATATTAAATTTGAATAAAACTATATATACGGATTCTATCCCAGTCTGGCTACCTTCCTTAAAATGAAGATAGCTGGGCTAACTATGACGTTGGAACGTCAAACATCTCAGTCCCCCGCCCCCTGAACATGGGTGCTGAAAAGCACGCAGAAAGCAGCAAGCAGAATTAAAAATAAGTTAAAATAAGTAAATTAAACGCGACAGAACCCGTATATATAGTTTTATTCAATGTGTAGTGTTCGCGTAAATTTAAGAAATCATTGATTGTACCTTGTTATGGAGGGAAACGTATAATGATCTAATTTTGCAATGTTTAAGACAGGTAAGATTTTTTTCTATTATATGATAATACCATTAAAGTTAAAAAAAAGTATTAGCAACGGTATTAACACTACTAATATTCCCTTTAACTACTCTTCTCCTCCTAAGCTTAAAATACTTGTGTTAGAAGTGATTCACCGCAGCAACCAAATGGCGGATTCGAACGCACGGCCTTTTGAGTTAGCGTCCACACCCTGGTTGTCCCCGATTGTTAAATAATATAATAGTATGAAAAACTCAAACATGTATTGATCATGAGCTGTGATGGTCCTGATATTTATTTTATTTTATCCCGGTGATCCTGATCAGAATACTAAGATAAAGTTATTAAATTATTATTATGTAATGGGTACCTACTTTATTATTCTTACTGTATGATATCAATCGACCGTTTACAAGCTGGTGAAAATTAAATTAAAAGGTTACGTTACATAAATAGATGGATACACTTGAAGCTAATAAAACAGTGTTAAAAACGAAAAAAGATGATGTGTAGAAACAATTAAACATCCAAAGTTTTCAAACAATTTATTATAATAAAAACATATACAGTATTCCACACAACGCCATTTTTATATCTACATATTACTAAATATCGCAATTCCACTTTTCAATCGTCACAACTCGACATCATAATCTATAATAATATATGACATTAATATTGTATGTATCAGAGATTATAAAACTACCTTCTTAATATAAAATTAATCTAATGGTAAACGTGACGTCACTCTATATATATCATTTGAGAGTTAAGATCTGTATAATGTAGCTAATAATTAAATATATTTAAAAAACCATGTGTAACAAAATAACAATATTAGCTTTAGCTCTAGAAAATTTAGATGCGAATACTATTAACTTTAGGAAAGACTTGTCAATTATCTCCGATATGTTGATCTGGGACTTATAGTTCTCATGTATATGTCATTGTAAAAAATTATGTGCCAACTGCATAACTTATTGTCTAACCTCTAACTTCTTTCACAGTTTTTCATTTAAACTCCTTTTCTGGTTAAACGTGGTCCGAGTCGCTTGCTGTTCCTTGGACACTACATATCTCTAGGGGATTACAGACCTTAAAATGTATGCATGTTGAAAATGAACGATTAAATTTTTACAGAATTTTAAGAAGAAGTATTACACTACACAGCAACAGTAAGAATACATTTTGATTAAAATATAAAATTGGAAACGCTTCACATCCAAATTTTGTAGGGCCCGATGCATTTAAATGCATCGATCAGCTTTCGTCCTGATCCAATAAAATAGATTACATTGAAATAAAAATTCAAATACGTCATGTAATTTAAAATACCCTAATAAAACAATCTTAACCTAATAACACTTAATCCTAAACGTACTTAGTATCTTCGGAAAAATTCAATAAAAAATAGTGTATCAATTTCAGATATACGAAACACTAACGCCGTACTAAAGTTAATACAGATTCACGAACTCCGTGTACTAAATCTAAAGATTCCTAGCGCGTGAAATTACTTCGCCTTTTTTGGGGTATTTCCTGTAGTGTTACTAATTGCAAATGAGAATTTTCTTCCACAAGCAACACGCCATGATGGTTCCCAGTTGTCTTGCACGTAGTTGTTTTATAGTAGTATACTATAAAACAAACATAATAGAACGGGGGAGTGGGCGGAGCCTGCGTAGCCACTAAAGTGTCACTAACACGTCAATTCACATGTACAAATGTCAACACGAGATGTGTTTAGACGTTACAATCGTTTCCATAATTCGCATGCAAATTATTTAGAAAATGTCAAATTGCACCCCATTTACAAATTATTATGTATTAAAATTTAATGATCTTGAACATTAATCAAAAGTCTAAAATGCGTAAATTTATTCAGTCTGTCAACACAGCGAATCGGGTTTGGCGACGCCAATCCTCGTACAAAATAAAGTTGACAGCTATTCTATTGTGTATTATAGTATTCTATAGTCTTAAAAGACAAGACTATTGGGAACAAATTATAAGTAGTCCTACCAATAACACTACTGAGAAGAAAATTCCCGGTAGTCTGTTTAGTAAGACTACTGTGAATACTCCGCTTTTTTTTTAAATAATAGGTACATTAATTTGACGACTCCATGGCGCAGTGGCTTAGCATTGAGCTTTATCGCTGAAGGCCGCGGGTTAGAATCCCACACGGAACATGTGTTTGTTTGTCCTTGTACAATTTATGGATTTTAAGCTGCTCTCACGCTACAGGGAAAGATTCTAGTGTGGGGCTAACGTTTCAAAAAATCATATATTTAAAATATAAATGATTCTACAGTAATATTTAGTGTTGTATTGGAATAACCTATCTTTTTTTATACAAGTTCATGGTAAATGCAGTGGCCTAACACTTGTGTTGTGGTTAACGTGAATGACGAATCAAAATGTGAAGTCAGCTCTTAGGCCGGTCACATACATGCGGCATTCCGTTTAGGGATTTCGTTTCGGAATTCCGATTCGGGATTCCGAATGCAGCAAGTCCATATAAAATCAATGACCCATCACACCCCTACGGTATTTTTCCGTTCGAAATTTTACGGATAACACGGGATTCCGTATGGGTGTGGCGGACCCGTTCGTTCCGTTTCGGAATTGCGAAACGGAATCTCGAATGTATGTGGCAGACCTTACAAATAAAATGGAATACCTCGTTACAAGTATGCTGGCCGCATACACACGTTTTACGTATTCGATTTCCGAATTCGTTTTTCACATTCGGACATCCGAATGCATGGAATCAGTAGAAAATATATTAACTGACGCACGTGTTCGCTTTTTTCCGTACGGAACGAATTCCGAACGTACGTTTTGAATGCAAGTTCGCGCGTTCAGAGAAACCTACGGGAAAAAACCTAATGACGTCATGCGGAACGCATCGCTTGCATACATTTTGTTTGTGCCGGCGCACACGTTCGGAAATTTCTATTCAGTATCGCGCCCGCGGCGCGCGCATCGGACGTATACTTTATATTTGTTACGCATATAATCGCAACACGATAATGTGTGAGGCAGAAACATTAATATTTGCTGTTGAAAAATACCCCTGCCTGTGGAATATTCATGACAACGACTATAACAACAGAGATGTCAAAGATTTGGCCTGGGAGAATGTATTTAAAGAGGTTATAAAGGATTGGGACACGTGCACTAAAGTGGACAAAGAAAACAAAGGTAAGATATTTTTTTCTATATACTTTTTAATACAATAGTGCCCACATTTATTCTTTTAAATTATTAATTCTCTCGTTATTTTGGTACGATATTTCCCCTGCCGGTGTCATAAAGTACTCAGCAAAATTGTCTCTTATGTTTCGACCTCGGTTTATAGATCTGTGTTGTGGACTACGGAAAGGTATATCTTCGATGTAATGTGTCAGTGTATCTTCAAATCTATAGCCGTCTCGTCTGCGTACAAAATTATGTAACACACACGCAGCCTTTGTTACTAATACTGCAAATTCTGGTGGAATCGTCATGCTAGTGTGAAAAATTCTCCATTTATTCGAGAGAATACCGAAGGCACATTCCACTAGACGTCGTGATCTGCTGAGGCGGTAGTTAAAGATTCTGCGTTGGGTATTGAGATTACTTCTCGGATATGGTTTCATAAAATTGTTATTAAGTGGAAACCCTTCATCGGCAAGAAACACAAAAGGCAGAGGTTTTGCTTCAGGCATATTAAGGCGATTTTAAATTAACTTTTTTCCAAAATTCCAGTTGTTAAAAATATTACTATCGCTGTCTCTGCCATAAGCACCGACATCTACAGCTATAAAACGGTGGTCAGAATTTACCACTGCTAGTGCTAATAGTACAACAGAGTAGAAATTTTTGTAGTTATAAAAGGCAGATCCACTACGCAGAGGAGAAATCAAACGAATATGTTTCCCATCCGCTGAACCTACGCAATTAGGGAATCTGGTTCTTCTATAATAATTTTCAGCAATTTCTAGCCAACGTTCTTTTGAAGATGGTGGCTTCATTTCCAAAGGTTGAAAAACTTCCCATATTGCTGTACAAGTTTACTTAACTACGGCTGATACGGTCCTGCTCCCCATCAAATATTCAAAGTGTAACTCTTCAAAATTTTTACCAGTTGCCAGGAATCTGAAAAAAAAAGATATAAAATAATATTAATTACATTTCAGGTGCTGAGGCAAAGAAAAAATGGACACACATGAGAGACTACTTTCGAAGAGACTTTCAAAAAAATAAAAGCGCTCCTACAGGCAGTGCCGCTAAAAAGGTTAAAAAATATGTTTATGTGTTGTATTTTCTTATACCGGTATTCGATAAAAGAAATACCGAAGGAAACTATCAATCCGATGATTTACACAATAATACTTCACAAGAATCCGAAACGCAAGAAGAACACATCGTGGAAGAAATAGATAACCATACAAATATATTACAACCTCCATCACCTGTATCAACTGCACCTGCAAGTAGTTTAAAACGAAACAAAAAAAGATATCCCCTGACAAATACTCAGTATCCCACATCAAAATCAACAGAAAGCCAATCAGAAACAACAAGAAGTAGAAGACGACGACATGAAATTTTTATTGAGCTTTAGAACACATATGAAACATATGAATGAAAATCAAAACATTGATTTTAAATTGGGAATGTTGCAGTTGGTAAAAAATAATCAATACTGAGTACAATTCATCTCCATCTTCTTCACTGAGTTATGATAACTTCAGTCACCGTTCAGTAACGCCGGCATCAAGCCGTGGTTATTCCCCCTCTTTTTCATATATTCCTGTACCAGAAACTTCACCTAATATGTTATATAAAACGCAATCTCCATTGCCAACCTTTAGTTCATCTTCTTCGCAAAATAAAATCACTAATTATCAATCTGCCCCAAACAATTCCAGAGTGGTTATTAACTCTATTACACATCTGCCACCGCTTCAACCACCACGTCATCACTACACATCACCTAATCTTCAACATGCCGAGGGTACCGAAGCTGCAACATTTTTAGTTCTACAATCTCAAGGACAAGAACAGGAAAATAATATTGACAAATACCTAAAGTTTAACCAAGATAGTTGATTTGTTATTTTTATAAATATAGATGTAAAAATAAAGAGAACTTACCTCAAGATTATGGTTAGTTTTTCTTCTGTATCCAAAGATAATCTATAAGGTATTTTGCTTTATTAATTTATCACGTATGCCATTATGAAGTTCATCAAAAGAATTTATTGACATCCTGTAGAAATCAAAGAATTTATCTGGGTGTACTCGTAACTTAGCTCTCTTCAGATAAAACGGACTCTTGTAGATTCTCCGAGTATTCAATGGATGTACCCAATACCGACGTTTCTTTTTCTTCTTTATAAAAATGCAATTGCTAATAAATCGTCGTCCTCCATCGTCGTACGGTCACCACGCTATCACTATCTATACTGACGTGTATACATTCCGAATGAAGAAAAACGAACGTTTGCGCTAGTCTCACGGAATTCGAAATTGCGCATTAGGAAATCGAATAAGGAAAACGTGTGTATGCGGCTAGCCGTAAACAGGGTATATCGTAACTAATTGAGAAGTCTGTTTGCATCATCACTATCGTCACAGAAAATATGTAGGTAATATGGTATCAGAGAGAGAGAGAGGCCCGGAGATTACATGAGCCACTCCTCATAGGTTAGGAGATAATTGTTATCACCACGTTTTAAGAGGCGGTGCTTTCATACACAAAAGAAGGGGGTTTATATGAAATTCGTATACTAGTTACATTAACACCATTACGATTTTCAACCGCATTTCTTAAGGGGTATCCATTAATTACGTGAGGCGTTTGGAGGCGGGAGCAGGGGGTCGAGCAGGCAAATATCGCTTAATTTATTTTCCCCAAGAAGCAGTGTAAAATTGCGAAAAAAGTGGGTTAAATTAAGTAAAAAAATATTTCTGCACTAAAATATGGTTAGTGGGGGCCATACACCTTCAGTTCTATCTATGCGATAAAACTGTGCAGTTATTATTTCGTTCTGCGACAGACGACTAGACGACGTTAGGTATTGTTGCATAATTATTAATAAAAAAACAAGAGGCAGAAAAAAATCAGGAGGCGAAAAATCTTAGGAGCTGGTGTAAAGATTGGCTAAAGAACAGAGAATCTTTAAGTTTCTAAGAGACAGGCGCAATTTTTCTAAGAATCGATTGCGATACGTCCTTTTTTGCTGTGTCTAATTGCAAGGCCGCGAGCTAATTTTTTGCTGTGTATAGTAACGCCAATAATCGAAAAGCAAAACACTTTTATGAGAAATGGCGGAAACTGAGCGGTAGGCACACGCTACGATATCGGTGGTTTCCTCCGATTTCGTTTTATCTATTTAAATTTTCATACTACTCCGTTAGACGGTACAGATTAAAAAAATCATAAAACTTGTATAGTTTTTTTTTTCACACGTTTCGATTATCGGTGCAGTTTAAACGGTACAGTACGATCATAACGATTTTTCATAGCGTGTGTCCACCCAATCATATACAGTTAATTAAAAAAGTTTATAAAAATTATTGAAAAAATATGCAAATTGTATTTTTTCAATAAACCCAACGCAATCAAGGACAGATTAGCTTACTTACATTAAAAATGCGCATTTAGAAAAATATCACGGGAGATTACGGGAAGAGCAAAATCTCACAAAATCACACAAAGGGTCTCCCGGTCTCCCCTCGACAGTCGAAAACTCGCCAAAATCGATGCCCCTTAATTAGATAATAAGAAATTTTTATAAAGTAAATATTTTTTTTAGCATCAGATAGTCCGGACAATACTTTCATCATAAATATAAGAATGAGGGCTAATAATCTTATAGTCACCAGATGTCGCTAGTCGACACTGAGGTGAAGTTTTTTTGTTACACAATGTCATTACATTGATAATTTAGTTTTAAATGAAAGTTCATCAGTTGCTAGAGTATTATATTAATACACAAAACAATGTCTCTGTGGTTTGTTCTTTTTTTTGCTCATTTTTAACTTGTTTTTAAATTTTTCTCTTTTTATTAATATCTGTGGTTTGGTTTATTTATTATTAATATAAAATATGACTGATAAATATATTAATCGATTAATTCGCAACCTTTTGCTTACCGGCTGACCGCTAAGAGCTCACGGTCAGCCGCCGTAGAGTCTACATCACCTGAAGATGCCTCGTGTAGAGGCGAAACACTTATCGTATTATCGTCGCTGGTGTGTGAGTAGTGGTGCTGGGAATGGTGCACGCAATTGACGGAGGGCGGGAGGTGCTCTTCAATCCAGGTAAGACACATCATTGTATTTAATTAAGCGGAAGGTTGCGAATTAATATTAATATGAATTATGAATTAATATATTTATTATAATGGATTTCCGCAAAGTAAAGCCTGATTCTATCAATTAATATAACTAATGGTACAGAAAAAAAACATTAGCCTTTACAATTTTCGAACAAATCAACTTTCCCGCTATGAAATCTGTCGAATGTTACACCTCATAAGTGGCGCCGCCCTGGTGACAGAAAAAGTAATTGAAAAAGTGTTTTGTGTATAAACATACACTAGAAAGCGAAAATCTTTTATTTAGAACGCAACTTGTCAAGGATGATGAAACCGTGTAAACATTTTCGTCATAAATTAAATCACCTTAGTCCCCAACTTACTACTAATGTAGGTACATACGCATTGCGACCGTGTAGATCTTCGCTACGATTTTAAAGCATATTATATATCTACCGTAATATATAATAAACAATGTCTGTACCTAAGTTAAGCATCGAGTGACGTCGATGAAGCATGGTGTACAGATAAACCTCCTCCTCCTCCTCGTTTTTGCGACACCATAATTAATTTAAGCTTACAAAGCTTATTTATTCAAATTTAAAAAAAACTAGCAACCTCTGATGAGTGTAAGAACATCCCTCATTTATCTAGTTATTTTTTTTCTTTGTGATTTCAAATAAGGTTTTTCTTTCATTCATTCAAACTAACCACCCTTTAGTAAGATTCAGTTATGCATCAGTTTCTCTATTCACCTACCAATAGCAACAGAGACAACCATAATAAACCTATAACTTTGAGCAATTACAATTTTAGAAAGAGACGAAGTTTGCCTCAGGTTAGATTTCTTACACTGCTTTAATTATATCTACAACGCCCATATCACCATTAAGCCAGTTACTAGTTATTAATGTATACAATTATGAATTAGGGTTGAAAACCTGTTTTAAATTACCACCGAAAATCGCTAAAATTAGTCGTCAACTTACCTGCCAAGCTGGAAATGCCATGGCCATGTCCCCCCCCCCCTCCCCTCCACGAGGCAATCCATGTGAGCGGTTATATAAATCACACCAAATAGATTTTTTCGTTTGGCACTACCAAAGTATCAATCAGTGACTATACCTGTTACAGGTAATTCTTAACTGTGCAGTCATTAAGGTAGTCACTCATTAGGGTGATACTATTCGCCGATATACTATCTTACATTATCTTATAGTGAAGTAAATATTTAAGGCCAAAAAAAGACATAGAAATGGTTTTTGACTTATTAAAATGAGTGCACAAAATTGAAATGGACCTAATGTGATTTTGCAATGCGTTTAGTTTAGAAATCATGTACTGAAATACTCTTACGTGGGGAGCTTTCTTATACCATAACACTTTAACTGAATCATTTTCTTCATCATCATTTACTTTCAAAGTTATGAGCCCTTCTTTAATAAATATACGGTTTTAATACACAAACACCAAAACATACAGAAACACTGATTATGTGTACTCTTTAGATACTAAATAATGGCCACGCTAGCTTACTTGCGTCAAAAATCATGCGTTTCACACTCACTGGATTGTTCTTAACCAACAAGACACAATTTCCACCGATGAGCAAATAAGTTAAGGTTTAGGCGTGGAAGCATCCGGGTTATTGCTCGGAGAGCTTGACTTCTGCGAAGCATCTTCAGGGAACTGCTTCTCCACTTGTTCCGCGACCCACTTCTTCACCTTCTGCTCCGTCCAGAAGCCATCGTAGAAGATGGTGGGTTTGATCCAGCAGCCCTGGTTCTGCGTTGGGCCGTATTGCACTGGTTCACCTTCCGGGCCGTTCGGCCTCACGCACGCGTTCTTACACTCGGACCCCGTGCGCGAGTTCACCACCAGGTTCTTCGGTGGGATGTTGAAATTCAAGTTCACATTGCTGTGGTGGCGGTCGAAACTTTCGTAAGTAAAATGCCACGGCCCTGCCGAGTACTCATAATACGTGTTGGGGAATATGTGCGGAGGAGCCACGTGGGGGGGTGCTATACGCGGCGGGGGGGGCGTATAGCGGCGGGACAACGCCCCCCATCACGGGCAAGACGAAACTTACGTTGGAATTTGGGCGGATCGGCGGGTGCGGCGGCGCGGCGGGGGCAATGGCGGGTGCCGCGGGGGGTGCGGCAGGGGGTACGGGGGGTCGCGCCAGTCGATTGGCGGCCGGCGGCAGGTTGGCCGGCATCGGGTGCGCCTTGGCCACAGGGGGCGCGGGGGTCATCACCGCGTTCTTAATCGCGGGCGGCGCCACGCGAACGTTCGCCGAGCTGCCGCTATCTGAAGAGTCCTTCCTCATGTTCTTATTCAGCGGGCTGTTCTTTGGCTCTTGCTTATTAGCGATGTTCTGATTGTTCTCCGTCTGTTGCTCCGGTGTCGGATTGACGGATTCGGGTTTGCTTGTCTCCAGCAGCTCCATTAGTTCTGTGGCCACGCTGCCGCCGAAGCTGAGGAGCGTTTCCCGCAATGCATTTGTTACCGCACACTGGAAATAAAACAACAACGATAAGCTTAGAACAAGGGAAAGATTCATAATTCTACTGTATGTTTTTATTAGTTATATAATTTTGAGGAATCTTTTTTTATTAAATAGGTTATACTTCAGGGATAGCCTTATATAAATTTGGAGAGAATATCCCACCCCTAAGGGTGGCAAAATATGTGTATATATATTTATACATGGGGTTTAGATTCAGTTTAGGGGGTAGTTTAGACATCATTGAGATTGTGATATTCCTTCCACCACAAGGATAAAAATTAAAGATATATAACAAAAAGTAAAAGCAGACTCTTGTTAAAAGTAATTTCTTTATGTATCCAATGACAAAAATACATCGGATTCCGAATCATTTTTTTTATATTTATCAAAAACATGAGATCGATATTTTAAAGCAATACAGAAGCACATTCGTCAAAAAATCACGATACCATCCTCACCATGTGGATGCTTGGCGGTCCACCACTGTGCGTTTTACTAAAAGTTTTCTTTCTCGTACAACTTCTCTGTGGAATTGTTTACCACTGGCGATTTTTCCAGACCGATACGACTTAGGGACCTACAAGAAAAGAGCTTACTCCTTTCTAAAAGGCCGGCAACGCACCTGCGATTCTTCTTCTGGGGCGGTAGTCACTTATCATCAGGTGAGCCGCATGCTCATTTGCCCCCTCTTCTATAAATAAAATAACATTATATTTTTCGATATACCTTCCTAGCGCGATGTATAGCCGAGCCCTTATGAGGCGCCAATGCCGTGGCGTAGCCCACATTCTCTCGGTGGATGTCAAAGCTCTTGATAGACACTGAAACGAAGGCCGCTACACCTGCGCTGTATTTCCCTCCCACTAAATCCACAAAATCTAGAAAAAATTGTTCAAGTACAAAATTACAGAACTTACAATTCTAGTTTACTAGGAGAGCTACGGTTTAAGATATATATTCATCGAAAAGAATACAATTAATTGACAATTTATCATGAGAAATAACAATCTTAGATACTAAATTCATGAATTTAAGAAGAACGGTAGGTGCTTGTAAATGACCTATTGTAATATAGTGGGTATACACAATCTTTTTACAGTGTTTTGGGTAAAAAGAAAAGTATGAGTACAATTACACATCGTTTCTTGAAAGCAAGTCTATAGCCATCACAAAAATAATCAGGTTTTTCAAGAATCTACAATCACTCAAAACATTTTCGTAAGCAGAGAATGTTTGTTCTACATTAACTGAGGTAACTGTCCAATTTTTGGATTTGAGTGCTAAGTTGGCACTTACTGTTTCTCGCAAAAATTCACCCATCCTATTAATAAAACTACCAATTTGCCACAAAGGTTCAAATCCTGGGTTGTAGTTCAAAATGTTTGTAAAATTTTCTTTGAGTATGCTTGTACAATAAGGTTGACTGTGGGTCAAAGTTGGCATTGGCATTCATATATTATTACTTAGGGGGATAAGCCGCTCGCGTGCGTAGGCTTTGACCACCTATTCCTAGGCCCACCCTACACGTGTCCCCCGGGTGGTGCTAAATGAGCGACAAGCCGATAGCACAGACTTGGCTCCACGCCGTGGTAGAGGCGTAAAATATACTACCCTTTATCCGCACCATAAGGAACCATATAAAAGAAATGGCACCGAGTTCCCAGCCCCCCTTTAATGGAGCAGGGGTGCGAAGAATCTCCGGGAGGAAAACCGGCGACGAGGTTCGCCACCCGTCACGTTCTGTCTCCCGGAGAGGCGAAAAGTGGATTGCAGAGGCCCGTCTGGCTACGTTGAATGTATGTGGGGCAATAAATGATAAAATGGATGAAGTATGCGATGTATGTATGATAGAGGAATAGATGTGTTATGTGTAAATGAGACGAAAAGGAAGGGGAAGGATGTCACTACACATGGCATGTATACCGCATACTGGTCTGGTGTAGACGAGATCGAGCGGGCATTCCAGGGAGTAGATATCATCCTTTCAGAAAGAATGGGCCAATGTGTGAAAGAGTATGAATGTGTAAGCCCAAGACTGCTATGGATACGAATGAAAGTGGGCTTAAAGAAGTTGTTTGTGTCAGGGATCTACGCCCCAGACATGTCAAGCCCACTTATATCCGAGAGCAGTTTTGGGAAATGGTAAGGATGGTGTTAATGAAGTGTAAGGGAAATGAAAATATTATTATGCTAGGAGATTTTAATGGAAGGGTTGGGGTGAGGAGGCTTGGTTATGAAAGATTATTGGGAATGTTTGGTGATGAAAGTATAAATGAGAATGGTGAAAGTCTTCTCACCGTATGTATGGAAAAGAATCTTTTTGTGACGAACACTTGCTTTCGCCACAAGAGAATTCACATGTATACTTGGGAAAGAGGTGACGATAGAAGCATGATAGATTTAATAATTGTAGATGAAAGATTGAGGGGCGCAGTGGTGGATACAAGGGTTTACCGGGGTTCTAACATAGGAACGGATCATTATTTGGTTTCATACCGAATTAATGGTCTATTCAGCCGTTGGCGCCATCGATCATCTGTGTCTACCACTGCGTTACAGCGTATTAGAACAGAAAGTTACAAGATGAAGGTGAGAAAAACAAGTTCAAATGTAGACTGAAAGAAAATATAAGTGGTTTGGATGAATTATGTATGAAGGAGTTAGGCTTGGAGAATGTATGGCAAAATGTAAAGAAAGGTTTAGTGGATGCAGCTACCGAAGTATGTGGTGTTAGTAAGAGAAAGAATGAAAGGAAAAATAATACGTTATGGTGGGATGATGAGGTACGTATGGAAGTTGAAGCAAAGAAGAGAGCATGGCTAGATTTACTGGCAACAAAGGCTGGTAATTCTAGCGGTACGAATGATGATATTGAAAGAAAAAGGGAAGTCTTTAGACATCTTAATAAAAGAGTAAAAGAAGTAGTTGAAAGAAAAAAGCAAGAAAGAACGGATAAGAATGATAGAAGAATATCGGATAATTTCCAAGCAAATATTAAAATGTTCTGGAAACTTGTAAGAACTGCCAGGGGACATTCAAAACAGCCTATGAAGAATGCTATAAGAGACGAGAATGACTATATTCTGAATGATGAAGTTTTGAGTTTAAAGAGATGGAAGGAATATTTTGAAAGCGTGTTTATGAGAGTTTAGGAGACAACGTGTGTACTAAGTGAAGTAGAAACTAAAAGAAGAGGAAAGAGGTAGCGAGATAAGTATAGGTGAAAAAATGAAAGCAATGAAAAGCATGAAAGCAGGTAAGGCTGCCGGATATGATAGAGTTTCACTCGAAATGCTAAGTTCTGGAGAGGAAGTGGTGGCAGGCCTGCTGCACACCTTGTTTAATTTATGCTGGGAACTGAAGTGGGTACCGGTAGACTGGTGCAAAGCCGTGATAGTCCCAGTATATAAGGGAAAAGGGTCGCAGCAGGACTGTAAAAACTACCGTGGCATCAGCCTTCTTAGCATTGTGGGAAAACTGTATGCTAAGGTACTGATTAAAAGGGTCATGAAAGAAACTGATGGAAACATTTGGGACGTGCAAGCAGGATTTAGAAAGGGAATGGGATGTACAGATCAAGTCTTTTCCATGCGCATGATCACGGAGAAGTTTTTGGCCAAAAACCAAAAGGTTTTTTGTGCGTTCATGGACTTGGAAATGACAGAGTGAATAGGGATGTGCTATGGCAAACACTGAAGTCATTTGGGTTGGGCGCTGGCTTGATACAGGCATTGGAGTCTCTTTATAGGGACTCTAGTGCTTGTGTTAGGATCAACGGGGTCTACTCGGACTGGTTTGACATCCATAAAGATGTCAGACAGAGCTGTGTGGCTTCCTCGTGGCTGTTCAACCTATTTATGGACAGTTGTTTGCAAAATTTGAAAGTTGAAGAATGCGGATTAAGAATGGGTGAGTTAACCGTCAAATGCCTTTTGTACGCCGATGATCAAGTTATCCTTGCGTCGTCGGCGGCCGAGTTGCAAATAATGGTTACATTAATGAACAGATCATTAAAAGAAAGGGGTATGAAAGTGAACGCAAGTAAGACGAAGGTTATGGTTTTTGAAAGAGAAGAAAGTAAAACGATTTGTGAAATAAGAATAGAAGGGGAGTTGATCGAGCAAGTAGATCATCATCATCATCATTACAGCCCTTCACAAGTCCACTGCTGAACATAGGCCTCCCCCAAGTAATGCCACAAAGCACGGTCCTGAGCCACCTGCATCCATCGACTTCCTGCATATCTTACCAGGTCGTCACTCCATCTAGTGGGGGGTCGCCCTACACTACGCCTACCGGTACGAGGCTGCCACTCGAGAACCTTTCTTCCCCATCGGTTATCGGTTCTTCGAGCTATATGGCCGGCCCATTGCCACTTCAGCTTACTAATCCGTTGGGCTATGTCGGTCACTCTGGTTTTACTGCGGATATCCTCATTTCTGAGTCTATCACGCAGAGAAACTCCGAGCATAGCCCTCTCCATAGCTCGCTGAGCGACCTTGAGCGTCCTCATACGGCCAATTATAGAGTTATAGAGCAAGTAGATGAGTTTATATATTTGGGCTGCATATTAAACATGGATGGGAGATATGATAAGGATATAGGACGACGAGTGAATGCGGGAAATAGAGTAAATAGGGCCCTGTACTCTATTGTGAAGAGTCAAAATGTGTCGAAAAAGGCACGTATGGCAATTCACAATGCTGTGTTGGTCCCTAATTTAACGTATGGTAGTGAAAGTTGGGTGTGGCAGTTCTTCTGCCCGCGAGTAGAATGAACGCAGTAGAAATGCGGTCGTTAAGAAGTATGTTAGGGCTGAATCTTAATGACAGGGTAAGAAATTGTGTAATAAGAGAAGAGTGTGGTTTGCAAGATGATGTTGTGACCAGGATTAAAAAGGAATGTTTCGGTGGTTTGGTCATGTGGAAAGAACGAATGAGGAAAGAGTGACAAAGAAAATTTATGTTGCAGAAGTGAATGGCAGAGTAGGAAAGGGACGTCCTAGGCGAAAATTTATTGAAAACGGGCCAAATTAGGAGTACCCTTAAACGACGAGCATTTATGCGGAGGTGTATGGATGTGAAGGAGGCGAGAGAGGTGTGTCAGGATCGTGCCAAATGGAAGTCTGTAGTCTCTGCCTACCCCTCTGGGTGACAGGCGTGAGTGTTTATGTATATGTTATGTATATTATTACTTTACCTAATACATAAAAATTAATACTTGTTTGTTCATAATTTTTGCACTGCCATACCGCTCATTAGATGGCGATAAAACTTTCGCACTTCCGCGAAGGTTATAGGTATGGTTGCACCTAGTAGGTGGCGCTCTGGTAGATTCCAGATATCACCCGTGCGAAGCCAGGGCAGATTGCTAAGTCAAATATATGAAAATTAATGTTTGTTTGTTCTTATTTATGCACTGCCACACAGTTTATCAGATTGCACTAAAACTTTGTCAACTTATTGCTTGCACTTGCGCGAAGGATATAGACATAGTACAATTAACTTACAGTTGATAGTGTGCATATTGTACAATTTATTTATTTGTTGGGAAAAAAAATTCTACTTGTAAGTTTCTTCTCATATGGTGTTGGTATCCCGCAGTTTAACTTGTTAAAGAGATTGCGCAGCTTTTTTGAATTTCATAAACTGCTTTGTAAAGATCAATTTTTGAATAAAAACATTGTGACTTGACTTGACTTGAAACTAATTCAATCTTTTTGTTGTTGCAAGCTCAGCAACATTAAAGGAAAAGAAACAAACATCGGGAAACATTTAAACTACAATTTTTCAAGAGCGAGATCATAGAAATTAATTGAAATCCAAATTCAAACCCCAAGATTAAAAAAAAATATATTCAAAATAGCCAGTATTCAAAATAGAAATTTCATAGATAAGTACCTGACATAAGTTCAAAAATTGCAGATTGAATCGTCAATTCAATCTACAACTCTTATAACTCTTGGTAGAGATAAGAAAGATTTCAAGACTATTATTGTAAATCTATAACACACACCTAGGCTTTTTTTGAATATCAATGGTTAATAAAATAACATAATATACAATATTGACATATTTTTTAGTTAACGTTTTACTTAACATAATAATTTGTAGGCCATACAAATTAAAAACATAATTTGTATGGCCTACAAATTATTTATTATTCAAGAAGATACATTCAAACTTAAATATTAGTGGAGTACAAACCTTTTTTTTTAAACATAAGTATACATAACAAGCATATTTTATATAACCTCTAAGTATTATTTATAAAAATCAGTATGTCAGTAATATTTACTTACAACTTAAACAATGAAAACAAGTATTTATATATAGCAATAAAATATCAACAGTTTTCAATGGCAACACTGAATTATTGTTCTCCATTTTGAATTGACTATAGCAAGTACATGGTAAAGTGCACTTAATTAATAAATCCAGTTTTACTGGTTCAAATATTCTTAGCATGTTTTATTTAACACCATCACTAAAACTAAAACCTCCAATCCATAGTAAAAAAAATACTATCAATGAAACTAAACCATCATGTCGTACATGCAGGAATTAATTTAGGTTTCTTAAAATGACTGGTTTGTTATTTATCACATGCAGCTACATTTTTTCATTTATTATTGGGAACATAAGCTGAAGTGGCAAGGGGCCAATCACATAGTTCAAAAAACTAACAACCGTTAGGGAAGAAATGAAGAATGGCAGCCTCATACTCGCATAAAAGTATAGGTAACGTAGGTGGGCCTGCTATAGCTACATGGAGCATCAACCTGGTAAGACATGCATTACAAGTGATGGGTCTGCTTCAGCAGTGGACTTGGGAAGAGCTGTAGTGATGATGATGATGATGATAACTAGATTTCTCTAGCAATGCCTTTCGTCAAAGTAATTGATAAACATATTAATATTTATATTTTATTTGTTTCATCAGTCCATTAAGAATTGACTGAAGGTATTTTATAACTTACCAAGATCCTGCTTGCTGACCGACCAACTCCAGTTGTTGAAGCCCCACTGGGAATGTCCAAAGTTTATCAACTGTTGCCGTCTCTGTACTGGCTCCCATTCTTCCTCAGAAGGTGCAGTCTCTGGCATGATTGCACCATCGGGCTGTCACCAAACACAAAGTTAGAAAACTTAAAACTACTACAGTTACTATTACACAACACAATCAAAGTTGAGGATAGATGTGTGTCTATGGTTATTCCATAAAAAATGGCATCTAGTAATGTTACTTACAACTTTTAATTCATTAAAAGTATATATGTGTTCATTTTCACAATAATGTATAGCTCTTAATGGTTATTATTTTTTTTTTTTTATTTAATTAGAAAAAAATTAATTATCTGGCTAGATGTTCTAAATTATCACTGAAAGGGAGTTTTAAAGTCCATTTCTTAGTTTTTATCTATGTAAAACACAAAAAAGTTTCTACCTATATTCATTATAAACTTTGGAACCATCAAACCAATGTGCCCCAAACCGGTTTCATTAGAAAGGCAGTAATGCGAAGATGGTTTTAGACCAATAAAATAATGCATTAGGCACTATATGAAAAAGTTAATAATACAACACCCTAATATCGCAATATCAAGGCATTTGGCTGTAGGGTTTTGGGTGTGAATCCCACACAAGTGTTTGTAATTTTTATGGCCTACAAATTATGTAACATTGTGATTTTTTTATTCTTCTAATCTCATCTACAATAAAGGGAATGCAGGAAAAAACTTGTGGAAACAAAGTTTGACAGTAGTTTAACAATTATATCGTAACACAATAACAAACTTCTTAAGATTAAGTTGATGTGTGATGAACACCCAAAAATTTATATTTTATTGCCTAGTCTTTACTTGTCTTTTTTCTTTGTCTTTACACATAATAATGTCCTCCAGACCGAATTTTAGTCCCAGAGGCCAGCTTCATCAGGGACTAGCCATTGGCACAGGAGAAGATTATAGTGCCCAAGTGTATACACAAGCACAGATGTACTTTCTATTCCCTCACTCTCATAGTCCAATAGGACAGTAAACCGGTGTAACCGGAGAGAAATCAGGTGCAGGATCAATAGCTGTACATGCTTTCCGTGACACAGAGGTGAGACACCACTAACTTCCAGGTTTCGAGTAGCTACTTTTATAATGGAAAAGTTCAATAACTGTGTTTTTAGCACAACCTGGGATTTGAATACAGTACCTAATGATCAGCAGTCGCAATATTACAACCACTAGACCAATGACGTAGTCATGTTAATACATATGTTAAGTACAGGAAACCTAGGTATGTCCACCATATTTATTGAGTGAAGATAGAAGGCAAAATAGGTAAAAATGTAAGTAAAAGAGAAGGAAGGAAAGGAGTGTTTACGCGGTATGACATTCTGAAGCCCTATAGTCCAGCACACACTGGGCCATCCACAAGGCAAATAAGTCTTCAACCACAATCATGAATCTAACTAGTCGATCCAATACACTAGAAAAATAATGTAAATGAACTTACGATAGCAGTTAAATATAAACATATTGATTAATAAACATTCTACTCATCACTGCGACGTACGATTTGAATCACTCATATAAAAAGTTTGTCAATACATTTTTTAAGCATCACGCAATTCTTAAACAGACACAATTACCATTTTAATACTGCAATTGGCCACGGGGAAGCCTGGTTTTCGTTGCATCTTTGTCGATGCAACAGATTTGTGTGCTATAAAATATGAATCAAATATCAAGGTTCCATTAAATAATTACACAACACTGCACTTATTTACTCAAATTATATGTATAGCTAAAATCTACCCAATGTTTGCAGCGAAGATTATTAGTATAATCAACTGCAATTTAATAACAATTTGCAAATTCCCAACAAAACAACTATATTGACATTTTGCGCGGATCCGCGGATCTGTTTGTTTTGTTTTTGGCCCAAAGGCGAAAGGATCTATGCCTATACAGTCTTATCTGACGTATATTTTTATCCGCTTTTAGGAGGTTCTGGGGATTCTGTGACTGGTAGTTACACGTGTTTGAGCGGTTTTCGAATATATTTTAATTAATTTGTATTGAGTTTCGTTAATATTTTTGCCGTCTTCTATGTTTCTCGTTATATAAATTTGTGTTGTGTTGTTCATTGTTTATTGGTTGGTAAGTAGCGACAGTTAATTAATTTATGTATTCTTAACTAACACGATGGAGACGTCGACGGGGTAGATTTAGAACAGAACCACCGGATAAAGTCCTTCTGATTTCGGTCCCTCTTAACGAAAATGTATGGACTTAACACCAAGCATTCATAAAAAAGAAGTTCGTCATGAAGATATGCGATCAGCGTCATATCTAAATATTTACACTCACCCTGATTTTTTAGAAAAGAAAAAATACACAGATAGTGATAAAAGACCTGCCATGCGGGCCTCCAGCCAAGGGCAAGGGGCTGCACTACCACATTGTAGCCCCTCGCATCCATCATCCCCACCAGATGGCGTGGCTTCGCCAGAGTCCTCCCGGACTCGGCAAATGACACTCGCCAGTTGTAGAGTATGCCGCATGCGTAAGACGAAGAAAATGAACGCAAACGCAATTCGGGCGTATTTTAGGGCGAAAAGGGAAAAGCTGTAGGTTTTGTGTCCTGGGCTAGAATGCATCGCTTTTTTGCCGTCACCGAGCAAAACCTGGCTGACCGAGTTCAGCATATCATGCGCTCAAAAATATTTGATGACGCCGAACTCGAACGGCTACGACGTGAGGCTGTTCCCTCATTGGATGAAAATGCTACGACTGAGGATGCGGTGCCACAACTTGCAGAACAACCCGCAAACGTGGATGCCGCCCTAAATACCCAGCTGTGGTTGATTCAAATGATGATGGAACAGTCGACCAGGAACTGGAACTAGAGCAAATGGAATGGAATAGGTGATTATGGAAACGCGCAGTACGCATTTCGAAAATCGACCGCGAATTCCCCGTATAATCCTAAGCAAGCGGAATCGGGCTATCGTGAGGGCTCTGAACCCAATGCTGGTGACCTATTTGGATGCCAGCCGGGACCTTTGCGAGACGGACTTAATTCATTTTGTCGCCGCACTGACAGTCTGCCGTATTATTGGCGCCAAACTTTCTAATAAGAATTACAATACAATACTCTTTATTGCACACAAAATAATACAAATAACAACAAACTTAAATTGATAAATTTATGTACAATTAGGAGGCCTTATCGTTAAACAGCGATTTCTTTCAGGCAAACCTTGGTGAAGGAGATCTTTTACATATCAAGTTATAGAAGTGTGCATAAATAGTAGATAAAAATTATTCATAACACATAACATATATATACATACATAATCATACACAAATATACATACACATATTTATAAATATTTTGTAACACATTATAGCTATATACATACCATATATACACAAACCTCATTAAGTATAGTAGATATGAGAATGAAATCTATTAAGTAGAACACATATTTAAATAATAATTTTAACCAGTTTTTTGAAAGACTCAGTGCTTTGGGCTTTCTTAATTGTTAAAGGAAGCAAGTTTCATAATTTGATTGCTTTGACACAAAAGGAGGAATGAAAAAATTTTGAGTTGTGAGCAGGCATTCGTCGCAAAATAAATTTATCGAATAATCTGGAATGATCTTTATCTGCACCCGCAAACTCAAATTTTTCTTTTAGATACCTCGGTGTTTTAGGACAAATAGTACACAGTACAGTTGAGATAGAATGTGAGTATTCCGACGGAGTCTGATAGGAAGCCACTTGAGTTTAGTACGAAACTCGGAAACATGATCATATGTTTCCGAGTTGTGTATGTTTATTATGTAATATTTGCGGTGGCCAAATATGAACCTAATAGCGAAAAGAATTAAAGATAAATAAGAGTTGAAGATCGTACCGTAAAGGCTAGGGCCCTCATCGGCAGTCTGATATGCTTCAGGGTGGGCAATAACAGGCCAAGGATTGTGCTTACCGTGAGGATGGCATTTGCTGGGACAGATGTCAGTTTGTCCCAGCCGAATATAACGCAAAAACTGACGGAGCGCATAGACGACCTGAAGAAAAGAATTGCTGTTTGGGGAAAGCGGATTCGCCGATATACTGGTATTTATATATGATATACTGATAGATAAGTGGTACGGGGCCAGCACCGAATCAGGCCGACACTGTCACATTCTGGCGCAGAATACGACATGAGGCTGTTCCTTCATCGGATGAAAATGCTACGGCTGGGAATGTGGCGCCACTAATTGCACAGCAACCTGCATACGTGGATGCCATCGTGTAAATTCCGTTAGTTGATTCAGACGATGATAGAATAGCTCCCATGACTAGACAAAATGAGGAGCATACTAGAAGAGGCGATGTCGAAAACGTGCAGTACGCTTCTTGAAAATCGACCGCAACTTCCCCACATACCGGATTGACGTGCGGGCTCTTAACCCAATTCTTTTTGGCACCACACTGGCAGTTTGTCGTGTCATTGGCTCCAAACCTCCCATGGCTGGATGCGCTACTAGACAAAGTAGCACCATCCCAGCCTGAAGAAAAAGAATTGAGGACCGTATCGCAAAGGTAAGGGCCCTCATTGGCAGACTGAAAAGCTTCAGGTTCTGCCCTGCTAATCACTTGGCAACAGATAAAAGCTGCTCTGAACATTCAAGACTTTAAACTGGTCATGTCTGCAGTTATAACACCTTACCTCACCTCCTTCCCTCTCTACTTTATTTAAACATTTATCAAGTATTCCCCCTGTTCATCCTGTTTCTCAATCTTATAGAAAGATCGTTTTCAGAACTAACTCAACTATATCGATTCCAAATTTTGTGAGCTATGATAAGGTAGCACACAACAGTATTGTAAGAACTCCTACCTCTTCGTCTTCCTTGCTCTTCAAGCTAATTTATCCCCTATGATAATCTCCTGGAAATCCTTGTCTCCTCCATCTCTGATATAATTGGCAAATTTGACGACATACATCTATCGTTTAGCGAGAAAAACAAACTTGATGTCCTCTTCCAAAAATTTCTAAAATTAAATCACCTCCACATCCTCCAGTAGAATTGTCGGAGCATCAAGAACAAGAAATCTACACTAATTAATTTGATAAATACTCATAACCCCTCTGTCATTACTATTGCAGAAACCTGGCTAAAACCCAGTTTTAGATTCAGAATCCCTAATTTTTCTTGCATCCGTAACGATCGCAGCGTTAGCTACGGCGGCACTATGATTCTTCTAAACACGAAAATTTTGCTTAATTTTCCTTTCCCCTCTGCAAAAAAATATTAACGTAACAGCTGTAAAAGTAATAGACATCACAATTGTGTCAATATATATCAAGTCTACTTCTGCCTGTACCCCAGAGCTTAACTTAATCCTTTCTAGTATATCTCCTCCATTTATTGTAATTGGGGACTTCAATAGTTTCAACGTATTATGGGGCTCTCATAAAAATGATTATTTTCTTATTTGTTAATAGACGTCTTTATTGAATTTAATCTTTGCATTTTGAACGATGGGTCTTTCTACTCACCCACCCACCCGCATGGTCTACCCTTTTCAAAGTCCTAATTCTGTTACACTCTATTTTATCCAGATGGTTAAAAATTTCCAGTAGAATAATTTTAAATTTTAGAGGCAATCCTATATGCCGATTCCCACAACCTGGAAAATACCTTTATTCTATTTGACTCTCTTAGCTGTCTCCAAACTATTATCCCCAGCTCCTGCCACTTTAAATCAAATTCCTTCCCTAACCTCTTTATTAAAAAAGCATTATACAATTGTCACAAAAAGGCCTAAAAGTTGTTTTGGCTTGGATTCCAGGCCATTCCGGCATACATGGTAATGAGTGTGCTGATTTCGTGGCTTAAAAAGCCACACAAACAGGTTCCCTCTCTCGGTACCAAATTTTCCCCGATGACTTGCTTCCACTAGCAGGATTTGATTTTCTGGCATCTTGGCAAGGTCTTTGGGACCAAACTGAAAACGTAAATTGTAAACACTACGCTCGGGTTCAAGACGTAATCCCATACAAATCTCGGTTTTTCCATTATCGTTAATCATCTTCGCTTCGGTCATTCTTGTACACCGGTACACCTAGCCAAATTAAGGTAAAAGCTGGCTTTCCACTATGGGATATAATATATATTATATGCCGAAATATAAATTATATCCCGTGATTGCCCTTCACACTGTGAGATATATCTTTTAACCAGTGTGCGTTCGTCATTGGAGGATCTGAGGACGTAGCGGAGGCGCGCAAGGATGTGCGGGATACAGGAGGTGAAATATAATATAAAAATATCGCTCGGTCGATCGAAAAAATATTTATAGTTTGGGATTAATATATATTATATCTCAGTGGAAGCGGTTCCATTTAAAAGTACGGTGAGCGATATTAATTTAAATCTCGAGATGTAATATAAATTATATTATAGCCCATAGTGGTAAGTGGGCTTAAGGGATAAGTCTTTATGTGAATGTTGTCTTGATGAAGGTTCCACCGACCACATACTTTTTGAATGTCCACGACTCAAGCTCTCCTTGTATGATATCCTTCCCCAAAACATCCGTCCTACTAATTCTACCTGTCTGCTGTCTTTCGTGTTCTCATTTGTCCATATTTTATGTAATTTTATCTATAGTTATAACATTAAATTGTAACATAATACTAATCATTATTAGTGGAAGAATTATCAATGTATGTGTCGTCTTTTGTTGTAGATTATATACCAACCATAAAAAATATAGAAAAATATACTTTGTTGTCACTCCCATGACTGACTTGACATTAGCAGAATTCTACACTATTATGGGTAGCCATAAAGCTTAGAGTAATTACATACATACGTACAATTACTTATATATGCAATTACTCTGAGCCATAAAGTAAAGTAAACAAGAAGAGGAAGTTCTGTCAAATCGACTGTAAGATCTTTTTATATAAGAATGTTCCGTATAAATATCAGAATCAGGGTTGTTTCCGTGTAAATGTACAGGGCAATAAAAAGCGTAATTATTTAAATTTTACTTTTTTTAACTCTTAATATTTAATATATTCTAATTATTTTACTTAGTTCGGTGAGTGCCATTGTAGACAGCTGTAGCATAGACTGTGTGTATGTACTGGGGGACTTTAATGCTCATCCCTATTAACGATTTTATAACGAATTATCGAGCTTTTGTATTGATCAAGAGTGGTCTTGCATTGATATTGATATGTTAGCACTGACCTCTATATATACAAGTACGCTGGACAGGCTATAGACGTGACATGATGAAGCGATTTGATTTCCGCCATTTTGGCGCTGACAGCAAAAGTGCACGTCCACGGAACTAATAATAGGGATAAGACAGTGTATCAAATTATATCGATAAAATTCTATACCCTACCTATACCTAAATAAACAGAAGGAACTCTATGGATAGATGGACTCTACCCGTAACGTCCATTCTATTTATGTATCATATTAATATAACGCCATTATCATTCATCATCATTAAAACCGTTCACAAGTCCACTGCTGAAAATAGGCTTCCCCCAAGGAACGCCACAAAGCACGGTCCTGAGCTACCTGAATCCATCAACTTCCTGCATGTCTTACCAGGTTTTAACTCCATCTAGTGGGGGAACGTCCTACACTTCACCTGCCGGTACGGGGCTGCCACTCGAGAACCTTTTCTCCCCTTCGGTATTCGGTTCTTCGAGCTATATGGCCGGTCAATTTCCACTTCAGCGTACTAATCCATTGGTCGATGTCGGTCACTCTGGTTCTGCTGCAGATATCCTCATTCCTAGGTTTGAACCCCTGAGCATAGCCCTCCTCATAGCTCGCTGAGCGACTTCGAGCTTCCGCAACGGCCAGCAGTGAAAGAC